GAATGGGAAAAGTGGCAAGCGAGGGAGCAATAAAGCGCAGGGGATGATCAAGGGAACAGTGTCGGATGCTGTGATGCTTGATATATCTGAGAAGATGTCAGCTAAAGAAATGTGGGACTACTGCATAGCCCTGCATGTAACAGCGACGATCGAGAATCAAAGGAATGTCCGTCAAGCGTTGTTTAGCTATGACTTAAGGGACGATGCGACGGCCGAAGAAATGGCTAAGCATGTGGAGGATTTCTCGAAGACGATGTCCGAAGCGAAATTGGTGGGGTTGAAGTTTAACTCACAGGATCGAGCTGGGTTATTCCTCAATACCATTCTAGCACCATCCTACAGGATCATTCAGATCGAAGTAACATCCCTCATACCAGAGGAAAGAACTTGGGAAAAGGTCTTATCGATCTTCAATAAAGAAACGGCGAGACGTAAAGCGCGCCCTGTTGGTAGAACCAATAGGAAGGGATTCGCGATGTTCGTCGAAGGAAATAAAGGAATGAGGGTGAACCGAGATAATATCTCTGATGGTCAGCCCAGGAAAGAAACTAGAAAGTGTTATAACTGTGACACTGTAGGACATCTAGCGAAGTACTGTCGTAAACCTAAAAGAGAGGATACGAACAGGAAAGAAAACGCAGATGTAAAGGATGGAGGTAAAAAGAAATGGAGGAATAATAAGAATAATAAGAAAGGACATACGGTCTCAAAGGATGAAAACCAGTCCAAGGATAACTCCAAAACCTCCTTGATGTATTCGTCATTGGATGGTGAACACGAGGCGTGGGCCGGGATGGCCATGTCGACAGAATCGTGGTTCGATGATGACGAAGGGTACACGAGTAACATCGTATGGCCCGAAGAAATTGAAAACCCGTGGGTTGAGGATAATGAGTGGGTGGGATTAGCTACAGAGTCTAATGACGTGAGCCACACTCGTGTAATCCCTACCTGGGTAGTGGATAGTGGTGCTACTCACCATATAACTCCTCACAGGTCGATAATGACGAATATTAGAAGGCTAGTGGAACCGAGAGTGTTCGGACTAGCATCTGGCAAGTCAATGACGGCTTGGGAAACAGGTGACATTAACCTCGAACTAGATTCAGGACAGAAAATGGTACTGAAAGATGTACATCACGTCCCCACAGCAAAGATAAGTCTTCTCTCCCTCTCGAAGTTACTCTCATGGGGGTGGAAAGCGAATCTAAGTAGTGGTGGTGGATGGATAGGTAAAGGTAAAGAGAAACTAGGTTTGAGGAAACATGACTCACTGTGGTCGGTACGATTCGGCAGAGCAATGTCTGCCGCGATGATCGTGATATCGACACCGAAGGCGACTTCACCACTTGAATCTGAGCATCAGCGACTCGGACATATAGGTGTAGACAAACTAAAGAATCTAGGTAGACAGGGACTATTGAAGAAGGACTGGGACACTTACAAGAACGATCCCTTTACAACAGATAAATGTCCCGCCTGTATGCAGGCCAAGATAACACGTCTACCGAAGAATAAAGAAGCACCAATGTTAAAAGGAGATGGTGAAGGAGTAGGAATGGATGTCGATATTACTGGTCCGTTCGGTCCGGCGATAAAAGGTGAACGATATTTCTTTGTTGGTGTGGAAAGGGCGAGTCGAATTGTATTCGCTATACCAATAACGACCAAAAACGAAGCGTCTGATATCGTTCGACAGTGTATCTCAAAATTGGACAAACAGCTTGGTGAAAGGGTGAGGGTGATTAGGTCTGATGGGGGAGGTGAATTCGATAGCCTCGACATGAGGGAATTCTACCTGTCAGCAGGGATCAACCACTACATCACACCAAGATACACACCAGAATTAAATGGAGTGGCGGAGAGAATGATACGTACCTTGAAGGGGATGGTATCAACGATGTTGTTTGACTCAGGACTACCGAACGAATATTGGTCCTATGCTGTCAGATACGCCGCCATTATAATTATGAAAACATCGATTGGTGTCAGCGGTAAATCAGGTTGGACATCACTCACCGGAAGAGACACGAATCTAGATAGCGTGTGGAGATTCGGTGAACGGTGTTTTGTTCAGATACCAAGGGAGATAAGGCTGAAGTCGAACTTCACGATACCTAGGGGTTCATCAGCCATTATACTAGGTCAAGATGAGGGTGTGAGCGGTTGGATCGTTAGAATGGACGGATCGGGACGAATCGAACACTCACGAGACGTTCGTCGCTCGACAGGACGAATGGTGGCTACTAGAGAGTCGCCAGATGTCATCCAAACCCCTCTTGACGCCATCGAAGTGGACCTAGACCCCGTCGTCAACGAAGAAATTTTCCCTGACGACCGCTCAGAAAGTGGCGAACAGGAAAATATCGATACTGAACAAGGAAATGATGTCGATAGAGACAACTCACCTAATATAGGCCCACAACCTACTGAAAGACGACGAGGACAGGGCATTTGGGGAGGAAATTGGATCTATGAGAACGATATCGTCGAAAATGAGAGAAATGATGAGGAAGGAAGAAATGATGGGGATGAGGGGATCCTGACGACACGTCACGGACGAATTATTCGACCCCCCCACCGCTTTGCAGGCCTAACAGACTCGTTCCTAGACTTTGGTCGCGAGCCTAATAAGTTAGTCTCACTCGCCTCTATCGCAGGTATCGAAAGTGATACTTCTCTCATTGATCCTATCTCTCCTGAAGAAGCAGTAAACGGCCCAGATGGTGAGAAGTGGCTGGAATCCATGGAGAAAGAGATATCTAACATCGAATCTAAAGAAACATGGGTGGAAACGGTGTTACCACCGGGCCGTAAAGCCATTGGATGTAAATGGGTATTCAAAGTGAAGACAGATTCAGAAGGAAACTTACTAAAGTATAAATCCAGACTAGTAGCTCAAGGATTCTCACAGGTACCAGGTGTCGACTACGAAGAGACATTCGCACCTGTCGGTAGATCGGGGTCGTTACGAATACTTTTGACTATAGCGGCCACCGAAGATCTCGAAATTCGTCAGGCCGATGTCGAAGGGGCGTATTTAAACGGTAAACTCGATGTAGAAATTTACATGAAGTATCCCAAGGGGATAAAACCGAAGCCTGGATGTAATACCTTGAAGTTAGTTAAGTCTCTTTACGGTTTAAAGCAATCTGGCAGGACATGGTGGATAGAACTCGGTGAAGGATTATCTCACCTAGGTTTTTCAAGAATCGAATCAGATTGGGGTCTTTACTACAGACCAGAAGGGAAAATCGAAGGAAAGGGAGCAGCAATACTGCTAGCCTATGTCGATGATCTGGTATTAGCCACGAAGTCGAAGGAAGAAGCGAAGGAAATTTTCGATGGGCTAGGTAAAAGGTGGATAATAACCGACCTGGGGGAGATAAGTACTATCTTAGGTATGAAGGTAACAAGGAACAGAGAAGAAAAGACAATATGGTTAAACCAACCAGCATATATCGATAAGATAGTTCAGAAGTTTCCAGAAAACGACTTACATCGAGACCGAAAAACGCCATTACCCCTTACTGCGAAAAATCCATCGATGTCGGAGGCGGAGAGTGAAATTCGACCATTTCAAGAATTAATAGGATGTCTACAGTGGTTAGCCACATGTACTCGACCCGACATATCATATGCCGCCTCATACCTTGCTAGGTACCTCACTAAACCGACGAAGAAAGTATGGGAAGAAGGGATAATGGTAATTACCTACCTTCGGTCCACTCGTTTACATGGTATTCGTCTCGGTGGCTAGGCTAGCGATCTAGCAGGATGGGTTGATGCCGATTGGGCAGGTTGTAAAGACACACGACGATCAACTACAGGTTGGATATTCATGATGAACAACTCACCGATAACCTGGAGTTCAAAAAGACAAGCTACAGTATCGTCGTCGACAGTCGAAGCAGAATACATCGCGATGGCTGAAGCAGCGAAGGAAGCTCAGTGGTTGAGAGGATTATTGAGGGAGATAGGCTACGATCAGCTAAATCCTACTACATTAAACTGCGATAACCAAGGATCGATATCACTAGCGAGGAAACCTGGTACTCACCAGAGGACAAAGCATATTGATATTCGACATCATGCTCTTCGAGATCTAGTCAGTAACAAGGTTATTGAACTAGAATACGTTAGCACTGTCTCTCAGAGGGCAGACGTACTCACGAAGGCTTTAGGTGGACCAGTACATTCGGTGAATATGTCAGCGATACGGGTAGAACCACCGAAGAAGAAAAACATTGGTTCAGTATACGTGACATTAGATGATGATGAAATCATCGATTACGATTATTCAGATTTCGAGGATCTAGGAGATCTATCAGGTGGTACAGAGAACGAAGTGGTACCAGAGAACGAAGTGGTACCACAGACAGAGTCGGTACCAGAGAGAGAAGTGTGGGTGGAAGGAACTTCAGAGAAACCCACCGAAGGTACCACCGAAGGAAAAGTTCTCGTGAGCCAAAATGTAAAATTTTCAGGTGTACCTAAGAATGTGAGTAATTCTAAGATAGGTCAGAAGCCACCGGTAGAACCTAGAGTCATTAGAGAGTTAAGAGAGAAAAATAAGGAAAAGAAAGAAAAGATAAAAGATAGAAAAGATGGGAGGATACATGACACTAATTGTCATCGATCTGGTATCCCAACAAATTCTCCACATGCTGACAGGCCCTTTCGAGATCGTAAAGAATGTCGAAGAAAGGTGCAGATGCACCTTGACCAGCGTTCGAGAGAGAGACAAGCAACCTTCGGAGGAAACGGATCTGTCGACAGGTCGCCTCCAAGGTACGGACCGAGATATCCGACAGTTCAGCTGGTCAGAGATAATTTTCATGATAAAGTGAATAATGAGCGTACCATGAGCCTCACCAGACCTCAGGAGAGGAACCAAGGGATCGATACCACCGGGAAGTGGCGAAGACATAATGAAATTGTTAATGAAAATAAAAGTTTCTCGGTGGGTAGCGGTTCTGCGAAATATCGTCAGCCAGGGACACGAAGCAATTTCATCGATTCTCGGGATCCTACTAGCAAACCTGAAGTTTTAAGAAGCAGACAGGATAAAGGGAAGTTCAGAGAGTCAGAAATGAGAGATAGAAGTGGAGAAAGACGAAAGATGGACATACCGATAATTGGAGATAAAAGTGATGAAGTAAAAGGAAAGATAGAGAAGAGTCAGTCGTCGGTACCGGTGAGTGGTAGCCACGTGTCAGAGCGGAGCCCCGCAGGGGGCCCCACAGAAATTCATTTCACGATTTCACCTAACACTACTACCACACACATAACACTCAATATTTCGTCATTACTACCTTCTACATCATCACAAACCCCGCCGTCGCCATCGATAAATCGTCCGGGACTACTGCAGAGTCGTGCATTGTCCCGTGGGGGAGTGTTAGCCGATAGAATCGGGCCAGGACGGCCGAACCGCCGTTAGAATTACCCCTTCCGTCGAATATTTCTCCGTTCAACTTATCCTCTGAACTTTATTCGATCGTCTCTGGTTTTATGCGTGTGAGTGGAATGTGATAAGTATAGAGACATGTAGAATTGATGCATGCTCTTTTTCCCCTCTGTATTATCATCTAATATTAGCAAACAGACAGTTGGAATGGATCATGTGTGCTGTGGAAACATGAGACACGCTTATCAAGGAAAGGAAAAGGGGACTTGACTGAGGGAACGAGACAGTGAACGAGACAAGTGAGGTAACGACACAGGGAACAGGACGAACGAGACAGTAAAAGAGACGAGTGAGGGACGACATAGGGAACGGGACGAACGAGACAGTGAGGGAAGGAGACCGCGAACGAGACGAGTGAGGGAACGAGACCGCGAACGAGACGAGTGAGGGAACGAGACCGCGAACGAGACCGTGAACGAGACGAGTGAGGGAACGGGACGAACGAGATCAGTGAGGGAACGGGACAAACGAGATCAGTGAGGGAACGAGACAGCGAACGGCACAGGGATCGGGACGAACGAGACGGGTGAGGTGGAGGGATCCAGATGATTGAGCAACTGAGATGATGGAGGGACACCCACTTTGCTCTCCTCCCTTACTCCAACCGTACTACCAGGTCCAGCATCACTTTCAGTTCCATCATCAGATCCAGATCCACTATCACATCCAGACCCTTCAAACACCAATGATGTCTTGATGGTTGTGGGAATTTGCGGACATTTGTCAGATGCAGACATGTTGAAAGACATAGTATCCAACTCCCAGGCTTCAATAGGAGATTCAGGTGTTCGGGTGAGAGCGGCGATTCTCACATCATCCACCTGGAGTTGGACACAATGGATGAAATGAAAAGCGAGGTGAGATGTTGACATTGGGGGCCGGAATTTCGCGGGGTTACACCCGCCGCGGAGCGGCGGTTCGCTGCTAGTAACGTACATCATCTTGTATTCGAGCTGAGCTCAAATCACGATCATGGCAGTTTGTCAACGCACGGATTATGACACACGTTTCTTGTTCATCCTTTCACTTGGAAACACTAGTCCAATACATCAACGGGTAAGTAATCCTTTCTTTATAGTGGGATTGTAGATCGTCTCACTGCAGCGAAACTCAGCACTTCACAATATGATATAAAGAGCGTGTTTCTACCAACCTGCATAATCATCGCCCACCACACCCCTTTGAAATTTCCAAAAGCAAATACTTCCTCTCACATCTTCCCTCACAATCTCATCACTCACACCACGGAAATCTCCTCGTTCAATAGGCATCTCATCACCATGGACCCAGTCTATGACCCTTCCAACATGACTGCCGATCTTCACAACGACGCGCTTCTAGAAGGAATTTCTCCAGCTGCTTTGTTTTTGGGATCACCTCAACCTAATGTCTGGGGAATCATGGAAGATACTCTCATGTTTGATGAATTTGCCTATGACTCGCAAAACCCCTTCACTCAAGATTATAATTTACCATCTCCGTTCCCCTCTGGACGTCCAACAAACCTCGATACACCACTCTACGTATCCCCAGAGTCTTTGAGGATGTCAAAAGATTTCGGCGCCTCTCAAGAAGATGAGAATTATCTTCAGTGGGATTCAGCCGTCACAGGGAAGGTTTACGAAGAGGATGATGAAATGACCTGGATGATTGGACAAGCCTCATTCAATAGAGAAGAGGAGATGTATTACGGTTCTGATTCTTCTGAACGAACTCATACTCCGGAACATGTTCCGGTATCATTTGAAGCACAAGCAGATCAAGCTCAAACAATACCGACGATTCTTGTAGAAGAAGATGAAGAAACTCCTCCACCCGTTTCCCGCACTTCGTGGGAGGGCGGGACAGTTGTGGGTATTGCTGAAAGAGTTAAACGGTATCGAGAAAACAGTTTGACAGCAACGAGAGAACAAGCTTATGAAGATGACTTGTCGGATTGCAGCTTTGTATACGAGTCAACATCCTCTGAGGATCCCTATCTTCAAGTAACTAAATCTCCTAAAAGTCAAACCAAGCGTGCTACCAAAAGTAGTGCTCAAACTTCCAACTCAAGCACAAAAGATACACACATTAAGAAACCTTCGCGTGGGCGACAGAAAAGTACAGAGGGTTCTGTCAAGAAAAGAATCCGAATGTCTGTCACAAATCCGAAAGAATGGACCACTGTGCATAGTAGTATGCGACAAAGCAAATCTGTCAAACGTAATGGTCATCCAGAGTTAGCTCCTTTGTTTTGTCTCATAGATGATCAACCTGCTCCTCATTTGGACAGTTTCTACGCACTTTCGCGTTCTATGGGTGATCACTTACGAAATTGGGTCACAGACAATGTGGAAGTCAACGTGGATAGAGTGAGTGACAAGAGACGCAAAATAGAGCAGAGGCGATTGACGAGGGAATGTTTAACTTCAACCGTGATGGCAAAATGGTATACTCAAGAACTTAATCTGGCATATTCAGAGGATCCTCAGAGTCTAGGCACAATGAGTGGGAAGCCAATTGACGAGGTGTTGGAAGAATTGGAGGGGAAAGGTAGATTTACCTGGGACTCGTTAGAGAGCCAACTTGTCAGTGCGGCAAGCAACGGTGGGACGTATGCCGGCTTTGAGGTCAGCTTAAAGCCAGGAAAAAGCTAGATAGAGGATAATCTCCATTTCACTTGTTATCTGATAGTCAGAGTAAATATCAAAAGTAGATGACATGTCACGACTTCTCAAACCGCTAGTTTTCCTTTACTACTTTCCTTCATCACTGCCGCTTTGTCCCTCAACTCCGGTTCCATATCCTTCAAATGATCCTTTTCCTCCAACACCTCTCCGTTCATGTCCGTATCCTCATCGAATCTCCCCACCATCTCCTCCATCTCTCTTTCCCTCTCCAACTGTCTCGCATTCAATGGATACCCATATTTCAACTCCTTCGGTGGTTTCCCATAGACCGGCATCTCCTCTCCTCTATACTCCTTCCATACTTTTTTGATATACTCATCATCTTCCTCCGTACATTTGGCACGGAACAATGTAACTCCTACCACATCTGACGATCTCAAGCCTCGCTCTTTCAGATACGTCCTGAGATCGAAATTTTCTCTGGCGACGTTCTCCACGGTCTCAGGTATTGATGAAGGTGTTGCTGGCTGTTGTATGACGACGAACACGTATCGGTGATTTCCTGATCCTTTCGCAGGAGCGGGTGGTTCCCATTTCGCCTCCTCAATACCCTCCGCCTGGAACAAGTCCACACTTCCTGAGGAGACTGTCAATGGAATATCCCGCTTGAGATAATGAAGTCGAGGAGCGTAAGACTGACTGAGATGATCTGGTGAATCTGGATCGATGACTAAAAGGGTATACCGACCTTCGGGAAGTCGGGATGAGGGATTGCGAAGGGAAGAGGGATGATGGAATATTTGCATATGAAGTTTTGGGGGTGTTTCGAGGTTCCATACTCGCTGTATGGATCCAGGTTCTACAGTTCCGTCGTCTTCTAAACTGTTGTTGAGTGCATCGGTGACACTGTCCAAAGATGGAGAGGGGAATACCAGTCGGACGGAGGAAGTGGGAAGAACCTCGGGTAAAAGATCAGGAACGATTTGAAGAGTTTCTATTCTTTGCATCAATAGATCCCTTCCTCCTTCTCTAGTCCAGTGACGTTCAGCGAGATGACGCATGACGGGGAGATGCATATGACTTTGACCGAGAGTTTGACGGAACAGACGTCGGAGAGGCGGATGGTTGATATCTGCTTGTAAGGAGAGATGATCGATTTTCGCTTGAACATCGGGTGAAGGATTGGGATGAGCGGAACGGAGGGCTTCAAGACGTTTGAGAAGATTAGATCGATGAGATGAGAGGAAAGAGAGAGCGGTATCATATGCTAGGTTCTGACCTGGAGGGAGAACGGGTGTCCAAGTGAGTTCGGTGGAAGGGTCTGATGCTGAAAGTTCGGTCGCGGGAGGGGAAGTGACGGTCGAAGAGGCATAGGGACGGATTGTAGGTGATCTGTGGGAAATGTATGGGGTTCGGATATGGGCAGAAAGTGATAGACGTGGGTATATAGACTTCATGTTGATGATTTTGAGAAGGATAGTGTGATAGAGATGTTTCACGAGGATTTCGGTGAAGTCGGAGAAAGTTTTGATTCCGCTTTGACATTCTGCGGGGCTCCGGGTCTACTCCTTCGCTTCCCTTCTTCCCTCGTCCCTCGTTCTCATTAACAACTTCTTCATTACTTTGGTGTCAAACAAACGAACTCTGATCTAACCATACTCCCTACATTCGTCAGAGATACGTGCACTCGCTATCTTATAGATCTCCCACGGTTTCAACTGCAGGTGGTGCCATGCCCGACAGCGACTCAGAGGATGATTTCATGTCTGACAAATACCTCGTCGAGGTTCCTCCAGGACCAAAATCATATTCCTCTCAAAGACAAGCACAGACTCTTAAATCTATGCGAAAGGGTCAATCCAAAAACCAAGTCCCTCTCCGGCAATTGGAAGCTGAAAGAAGATCTGAAGGACTCAACACTAGTTTATTCGATCGACTCTCTTCTCCTGCGTCCACCTCTCAAATCGCCGTTGGCCCCAAGACCCAGATTCCTAAGAATGACGATCTCAAACGAATTCCTGAGAAGGATGTAGAGAAAAATAAATCAATTGGCACAGGAGGAAACAAGGCAATGGAAATGATGATGAAAATGGGATGGTCAGTAGGGGAATCATTAGGAAAGAAACGTTCTCCATCTCCTTCCTCGTCCAACACTAAACGGGTCAAATTGGAAGCTCAACAAGGAGATGGAAATGTCTCTGAAACGGAGGATGGTGTGCTAAGAGGAGGAATAGGTTCGTCTAGTAGATTGGTGGGAATGAAAGAAAGTAAACATAGGGTAGAGCCAATAAGGATATCGATGTGGGCAGGTAGAAAAGGTTTAACAGCTCGTGAACTTACTCCACCACCTTTACCTACTTCAGGTAGAGATATAGATGCTTTACATCCTGAAAAGTTACAGAGGTTAGGGGAGAGGACGGAAGATTTCAGAGAAAGACAAAAAAGGGGATATGCGGAGAAGGAGACGGAAAAGAAGGCTGAGAAGGCTAGGGAAAAGTTGGTGGAGTTTGATAAAGAGGTTGGGGTTAAAGTGAGTTTCATCTTAAATCTATACCTGAATGTCTACCATATTCGACGACTCTAACATTTCATACAGGAAATACTAGCCGAGACATCATAACAGCTCTATGATATATACGATAGATGTAAAGAGAAGAGAATAAGGCTGACTGTTCAGTTTCATCCCCTTCACATATCTCCATTCGACCCCTTGGGAACCCTTCCAATACCATTACTCAAACTCATCTATCCATCTCAGATCCCTCCTTCCCCCACTCAGTCGCTTCGTCTGAGTCCACTCGCATCTCCTCACGATGACACTTCTCGTAGTCCGTCACCCCCTTTACTCGAGAATGCCAAAATGTCCGACGCTGAAAGAGTGAGAGAACAAATGCGACGCGATATGCTTAGTTCTTTACCTTCTGATGAGATCGAAGGGATACCTTTTCATCCACGGCATAGTCCAGACCTTACAGATGCCCGACATGGAGCAGCGACCGAGGAAGAAGAGTGGGAAGGAATAGATTGGGAGAAGGAGGTACCAGGGTCAAAAAGAGTTTTGTCTATGAAAGTGAGCGATCACCCTCTTTCCCCTCACCTTGTCCGGACTTTTGTGTGTATGAGTGTGTCTCATAAGACAAACATACGTTACCAGGTAAATCTGTAGCCGAATGAAGGGACAAGACCAAGGATATATAGATCAAAGCTGATGTATATAGTCCGATGAATACCCTGCTTATCTACTCTCGCAATTGAGAACGGAACATCTGTTTTGTTTCTGGTGTGGATACAAATATTCTTCGTTCGAAGAGATGGACGGACCTGGTGGATGTCCAGGGGAAGAAGAAGATGATCATTAGTTTTTGGCTTTACCATCACGATGCCTGTTTAAAAAAAGAGCACGAAGTGTCACTGTATCTGTAGTATGATCATGCATCTATTATGAATCGTGAAGTCGTTCATCATTCTCTCCCATGACATATCAGGTACCCCGAGTTATCGTACGAATACTGATGTAAGGTGGAAAAGGAAGATAGTCATCTGAAAAGAGTACAGTATACAGTAGTGAGGAATGAAGGGTACACAATGAGTGGAAGATGGGAAGCTCAGAAGAGACGGTGCACTTGATCAATATCTCGATTCCAATTCTTCCTTTTTCTTCCTCTCCAACCTCGTTACGGCATCTTCAAGAGTTTGTGTCCTATTATGAAGCTCGATGAACATTTCCGAAACAGTATTTGTCTTATCATGAGCGTGTGGTCCATCAATATCCTCCTACAAGACCTCTGGCGAAGCTTCGGCTCTCCTGCTCCCCACAGACGCAGGGAAAGATACAGAAATTGTGTGCCGGGAAAGTAGAGATACGACGGTTTCCCTGGAGGGACGGATTGTGAAGTCGTAGATATACGCTCTGAGGTGGTAGGTAGGGTTCGGAGGGGAGAGAAAAGGGGAAATGGAAAATGCAGAATGGAAAACTCACATAAGTACTATACCGTCTCAATAAATTATTCACTTCTTCTCTTACTTTTCGTAATTCTTCCATTCGGGAAATGGAAGATTTTTGAGCGTTTACAATTTCCGGTTTGAGTGGAAGTATTTCTGATTTATCAAACTGATTCCTCATTCCCCATATTTTACAAATATCAACATGACACACCACCAAATCATCTACATTTTTAGAGGATCATCAATAGTTGTGACATTCAAGTAGACTTATTAAAAGAGTCAAGTGATGAGATAATGATTTGTTCCATATCGGTGATGTTCCATATTATCAACCAATAGAAAATAACGTCGCCAATGAGTGAGAAAGTAGAAGAAGATGTATGAGGTAAAGAGGAGAAAGATGATCTGACTCACTTTGTAATTCCCCAGACCCATCAACACCTTTCGAAATTAACAAATCAATTTCTCTCAACCCTCTTTCTGATTCTTTTATATCTTCAGAAGCTTCTAAAACAATGATCAACTTGGTATGATCAGGTAATGATTCCGAATCTGAGTTTATAGCTTCTGAACCTGGTTGTAGAAGTGGAAGATATTGATCGTCTGTTCGTTAGATCTTTGTTCCAATTTCTTTTCTTAAATATTTGACAATTGACAAGGTTCTACTTATCCATCCTTCCATGACCAATGAGGAGATAGCTACACTTGAGAAAATATTCTCATTCCTTTATCCTTCGATGACGATTGAAAAAATAGATACAGTTGAGGGAAAGAATTGAAGGAAGGGTCAAACGAATGGTTTGAGGGGGCGGCAGGGTTGAGGAAGATAGAGTGGTACGGACAGTCTTGAATGATACTATCTAAACATGAAAATTGATGAAAAGTCGAGTGAAATGTATGATGCTCGGAATCAAGTGAATCAAGAGAGACTTTTTCGATGAAAATCACACAGTAAGATAAGAATGAGGAGTACAGAGACTCACATCCATCTAATAACCTCTTAATCCCATCATCATGTCCACCAGTACGTTCCAAAACATCCATCACATCTTTGATTCTTCTCGTTAAACTTATAGATGATTTTTCTACTTGTCTAGTATACTTCGGATCTCCTGTAAGTCTTATTTCTCCTTCTTTATGAGGTTCAGTGGGTGATAAGTGAGAGATACCAGGATCAGAGTCGATGTTGGAAGTGGATGTGAAAGATAAAGAGGAATGTGAGGGAACACCGTAAATGATGGCTTCTATCGTTCGAAGACGTATTTCCAATGCAAGATCCGGTGACATTATAAGATGTAGCTTGATCTTTTATGATGATTGATGTAGACAATGTGAGATCAGTCGGGAAGGATGGAACAGAAGGTGGGAGAAATCAGTAAGTTGTTATTGGTGGAAAGTGGGGCAAGGAGGAGTGAAAAGTGGGGAAATGCAACTCGTCGTACGGTCGTCCTTTCAAGTATGCAGCAATCCAGCATGCAGCATGTACGAGTACCAGCATGTCATGATTCATATAAACGATGATACAACAGTTCCTCTAATGATACAAATACTCTCATGACTCCTCAACTTTCGGTTCTACCTTTACCTCTTCTATTTTTGTCTCAGCAATAGGAGCAGCAGCGGTATTCCCTGCCGTTCCTGTTGTCGCCGTTGCCGTTGCCGTCGTTGTTGCACGCCCTCGAACCAAACGAGGGATGACAACAGGTAATTTGGTTCTCTTCCTATCTTCCGGAGGTAGATGTATTGGGACTTCAGCATGGGCGTCGAAGCCTGGTAATGTTGCGTCGCATGTCATCCCTATGTGTCAGTGAGTTCATGGTTGAACAAGTTTGCCAAAGTAAAAAAACGTATGAAAAATTCGAAAGTGCAGACATTTGATCTACACTATATCCGGTGAGGGTAGAGAGAATAGTGGGTAAATGGTCTGATGTGAGAAATGAGAGAAGATGGAGTGTTAGGACGAGTCACTCACGCAACCAAGCGGCCGTATCTTTCACTTCTACTTTTGTACTCTTTCGATGTTTTGCTAATCTGATTGCTCCACGAGCGAAATCGTTGATAAACATATCCATAGCTTCGCCCAGGAGCTGAGATCAATTTTCTCATCTATCTTGACAAGTGCCTCATGAATCACGGTGAAAGCCACATGCAGCGGCGGTCGGTATGACCGAAGATGGTCAAGAACACAGACTGATGAGATCGAGGATATAAACAGAGAGAGCTCACCTCGGCAACGCCTAATTCTATGTCTAAACCAGGAGCATCTTCATTTACGAAATCTCTTATCTTTCTCTTCCTCCTCATGGCCTCCGTTTCGACAGGTTTGGGGCCTATACATGAGCAAGTACTCAGGTATGGATATCCCAGTTGCCAATTACACCACATAACCCTGGAGTAAAACGCAACAGAGGCATGTTGTAATCGCGAGCAGGAAGAGTACAGAGAATGACAGGACTCACGAGCCTGGGCGGAGGCGTTGAATCTGTTGAGGGCTTGATGATATTGAATCGACGAAGTATACCTCTCCTTCAATCCAGGTTGCTGCTGATCAACATCACCTTCTTTCACCCCTTTTCACATTCTGCTCGAGCCCAGGTGGGTGCGGTGGCATGAGAATTGTTATGCGCCTAGGCAGTTTCCCTTTGCAAGATGGAAGAAAAGAAGAGATAAAGCTCCATGAGTTGAAGATTCGACATAAAAACTCACATCTTGGAAAAGTTTTTCCCTCATGTCGAGCGTAGTCTTCAATATCCTTTGCAGATCGAGAACTGGTACTAGTCCCGGTGGTGGGACAGGTCTGATAGGTAGAGGTAGGTTTCTGGCCGCCATCGATGTGACATTCTGACCGGTTTGGCCCTGCCCAGTTGTAGTCGGAGCTCCTGACATACCTGTCTGAGCGGGATTGCCGCTCATCGGGTTCACACCCGTCTGTCTGATTTGTAGAGGGGTCGTATGTGGTAAATTTTGAGGTGGTCTGACAGCAGGACTTGAATTGGTAGGATTGGTAATTGGTCGGACAGCAGGACCAGGATTCGTAGGGTTTGAAACTATGTTCTGGCCAGCTTGTCGTTGTGCAAGCTTAAGACGTCCTTCTGCCAATCCTGCTTTAACAGCCGCGTCTAGCGTTGTTTTGTCCAACAGAGGAGGATCGGATTTGTACGGTTGGCTGGGATCGAACCTGGCAGGCAGAATGTCGAATGGGTTGGGAAGGGAGTTGATCACTGAATGAGAAGCTATAGCTCTGGCTTGATATTGAATAACGCCCCGGATCTGACATCAGCCATGAGGTTTCCAAAACTCAGGTGTCCCAAGTTATCAACGACTCTGTGGCCAGTGGCCAGTAGATCGACATCAACGGTCTCAAAATACTTTGCTTGGACAGCTACATGAAGAGGTGTGGATGTGCCTCGTGTCTTTCCTTGACTATTGCTCGTGTCACGAGATACGAGTAAGTATCCCACGATGTCATTCTTTTCCACCAACATGACATCCTTTGGGAACCATTATTGATCCTGAGAAGCTTCACAAGTTGCCCAATGACACGATGAGGTTGGTGATATGAAAGAATGGCCACAAATGACCAGTGTACACATGATGTATAGAAGAGTAAGAGAAGTAGGAAAACAGAAGAATCCCTCACCTGACGGGCCAACTTGTCATCCACTTCACCCTTGGCTTCCGAAGCGAAAAATTGAGGCAAACGTCTAAAGATGTTATCGAGTCCGGCGGGAGGTATGGCTCTGGGTAATTGTGGGTCAGTTGTTGGAGTGGGATTAGGGTTAGACATGGTGAGTCAAGTTTGCAACACACTCTCACTCTATCTCCACCAAAGTCGGCGTTCAAGCAGAGGGAAATTTGATTCCGCTCTTGCATTGGCAGACGTGCAGGTGAGCTCTGGCAGGTACAAAGTCAACTCTTGACTATCACACTCATAAAGTCATTCGTCAATATGACATGGACACCTCCTCTCCACTCACTGACATCTCAGATACCACTATCAAGTCTCATGATACCCCAGGTGACTCGAATATATCGGACCAAATCGTCATAGCTTCTCTCAACGTTTATGACAAACTACCACAACATGGCAAACCCATAAACCGAAGTAACGGTGTGGTGGAATGGACCATCCTCTCTTCCATCTGTCTTGTGTTTCCTCCAACACAACTTGGCCCAAATGGAAATAGTACCTCGGCTGAATGCAAGGAACAATCTTACACAGAGGAGACTGTGGGGGAGAGACGGAGAGGAAGAGTGCTGCCTGTATCAATAGGCACAGGTGTCAAATGCTTATCTTTTGATAAACTACCCCCGGCGGGGGATATAATCCATGATTCTCATGCTGAGATTCTGGCTAGAAGGGGGTTTATGAGATGGCTTGTATTGGAAGCGGAGCGATTGAGTGAGGGTGGGATATCGGAGGTTTTGGTATGGAATGAAGTTGACGGGAAGTTTGGAATGAAAGATGGGGTAGAGGTGTGGATGTACGTTTCTGCTTTACCTGTAGGTTTTCTCGTCATATGACTCCACTCTCCCATCTCGTATGGTCTTCAAATCCCCTTTCATTCCATTATAACCGCAAGACCCAGGTTTTTGTTCGGAATTCTCGATTTCTCCACCCAGGATGGAGAACCCCTTAGCGATGAGTGATGTATGAACAAAATATACTGATATTCAGTGTGGAGATGCCTCAACACTTCACACAGCACTTCATCAACCACCCGAAATGGCAACCCTCAAATCTCTCGCCCCTCTTCCCCCCATGACAGGCACTTCGAGAGGTAGAAACGGTTATACCTCCTTCGGAACCCTTCGTACAAAACCTGGAAGAGCTGATTCCATACCGACGATCAGTATGTCTTGTTCTGATAAAATGGCTTCTTGGTGTATCTTGGGATTACAAGGTGCTTTGCTTTCGTCTCTCTTCCAACCTGTATATATCGATCATGTGGTTGTAGGGGGTACAGAACCTCCTCTCCATCGGAACGGGGATGAGGAATGGGAGGGTAAAATCAGAGCAGAGGTGGAGAGGGCTTTATATGGTCGTTTGGAATGTATAGCAAGTAAGTTATTGTGGACTCTTCGCTGTAGCTTAACCTTTACCGCCATCTCCACATGTCCTCGGTCCAGAGATCATAGGAACAAAATCGAAAACCCCCCGTAAGAATGATATGTGTTGTGAACGTCTCACCGAGATCTTTGTATCGTTACGAAAAGAGAAGAGACTAATTGTAGATGATCTCCGACCTCCCTACACTCTACGCCGACCGAAGATACATCTCACAGCCATCAAATTCCCTTCTGGCAAACCTTTTGCCAACGCTTCAACCACCCAGGCAGTCCCAAGTAGCAATAGCATCTCTTACATCCTTGATCTAGGTCAGGAAGTCTTGGTTAATGGTTCAAGACAAGGAGCCATCTGGCGATCACCTGGAAATATACCTCTTGCTGAAAAAGTCAGATCAAGAATATGTAAATTGGAGTTTTATAGGGCGTACCAAAAACTGGTCTGTAATCTCTCATCATCAAGTTCAAGATCAATCAGCTCACCGTGCGTACATCATAAGCCGAACTTGAAAGAGGCTGATAGACAGTCTGTCCACACAAGAAACGTATCATGCGTTCAAACAGTCTCAGAAGGATTATCAAGATGCCAAGAAGATATTACGCGGAATTCCAGAGAGGTTGGTAGGGAAGGACGGACCGTTCAAGAGATGTGAAGGTATTTTGGTTACTTCGGGAGGGACACCTTTCTCAGGATGGTTAGTCAGTGGGGAATCATATGAGGGTTTTCGTCTTGATTAGTTACTAGATCTATCATGAATGCATAAACATTCAGTATGGAATCTGATGCATGGTACCACTATGACATGTACAGTATTTTCCTCTCAAAAGATAGTAAAACATAGGAAAAGTCACGCCACGCCACGTCGAAATTGGACGCGATTTTCACCAATTTCCTTCCGTCTCTCTCCTCCGACACAACTCATATTTCTCCTGGTTCACCTCATCCATCTCTTTATCATAAAGGTACAATGCAAGTATCATACGAACCTGAAGTCTCATTAGCCGATATAGTCGGTACTGGAGTTGATCCTGGCCCTTCACGCAACCAAGTCCAAGAGATGGATCCTGATTTGGAAGAAGAAGAGGAAGAGGAAGATCAAGAAGGTTTGTCTTTTTCTTTTCTTTTCTTTGCTCAATTATCTAAAGCTGACGTTACTCTCCCCTCATCACTATACGATCATATACTCAACACATATTCTCCCTTACATATTCATCTGGGATTTGCAACACTCCGACACTCATGATTTCCTCATAATCACCAATACCTATATTGAGACACATCTCCCCTTCCTTTTTCCAATTGATAATCGTCATCATCTTATTCAAATACTCCTGTTCAAAATGATCTATCCGGTTCAATGATAACTTCCACCATCACGATTTGTCACACATAGACCCAAAACCAAAGAAGAAAAGAATAATCAAACAACGTCAATCTTTAGCGGAGAAACAACCTGGTACTACCATCTTCCCCATTTCACGAGTGAAAAGAATCGCCAAAACGGATAAAGAATTAGATATGATGACTGGTGAAGCGACATTCATGATTTCAGTTGCTACCGTCAGTGTTTCCCTACTCTTCCACCCTCATAGTTGATTATTGTCCATCAAATTTGCTTTCTCTTCATCCGAAATTGTTAAAAAGGGAAAAGCGAAAAGATGTCGAGAGAAATCGGTCACCATGGGAGATGGAGAAGGGGGGGGGGGGGGGGGGGGGCGTGGGAAGAGGAAGAACTGACAAGTAGGAATATTTTATAAAACATTTCATGGAGGAAGGTTACACAAAAGCTAGATTGGATAAAAGACGTATCGTGAATTACAAAGATATGGGTTAGTAGCTTTCTTCTCTACCCACTCGCCATTAGGTTTTGTTTGGAGGGAATCTATAGGCTACTGTTTGTCTGTATCAGGATTCCGGGCATGAGGGGTAGTGTCGATGGTGGTTTCCGTGATAACTTCAATGGTGGTTGCAATGGTAGTACCGATACTATCGAACTCGGACATGCTTGATCGAGATAACACCAAAAGAGACATGATCTGACGAATAGCGGCAGTGGTACAACGTTCAGAAGAATTCGATTTTTTACGTGGTATGTTTCATTCTTCTGACCTTTTTCTCTTAAACTTTATTCCTGCACCACTTAGCACCCATCACGAATTCGATATCATTGTTCATCGTAACATGATGACTGCTGTGACCCCCTCCCCTTCTCGATAGGATGTGAAATACAAGTATCTTCAACCCTCGGAAGCCTTTTGGCAAACGACGAAAAATATATAATCTTCTCTCTGATATTCTTCCACTCTTATTTCCTCCTCCTATCAATTAGATGTGAACGAGCTAATGATAGATGTCATCCCGATGCCTATACCCATATCTGAAGCATTAGAACGAAGGAAACAAAAACGTAAATCTTCTTTCTTACCTTTCTCCTCTCTCCCTCCTCGTCTTCCAATCATGTGCACGATCACTTCTGAGTCCAATCATCTGATACACCTGAAAAGGAATCTATCATATCTCTCCTCCCCTTAATTCCCAACTTCTTCATCTTGAAGACACACAATTTCCAATTTGCCCATACTACGTGTACGAAGGAATCGAATCAGGCGCGAGTTCTGATATCAGAAATGACAGACGAACATGATCTTCATTCCGACGATCTAGCCGGTCCGACCGAATCGGATTTACCACCTTTACAACCTTCCACCAACCCTCTTTTCCCCGGAGCAATTGTGAGGAAACCTCCTAATACACATGCCAAGACCAGTCAGAGATTAAAATCTCCAACTGATCATGTGGAGGGTAACACGGGTTCGGTAGGTGATGAAGGTGAGATCGATGAAGGGGTTAGTGGTGTTGAAGGTGTCGAAGTCGGTGAAGATACAGGAGGAAAAAGTATAAGTCCTAGATTATTCGGAAAGAATGGACCTAGTACACCACATAGTCTGACTACTCGAAGAGGTAGGAAAAGTGTAGCTAGTTCTAATGGGGCTGAAGATGAGAAGATGGAAGGATGATTTTTTCTCTTGAGGTGTTTGTTGAATGTATATCCTTTTGAAGTGACTCAACAAGTGTTTTAACAGAGTCATATGTGTGTGTGGTTCACTCTTCTCACTATCATCTTGCTTCTCATTCGGTGACGCTGGCATATTTCTATCTCATGGCCGAATCATCCTCTAGGGGTGGGAAGGTATTTGTATACTGTATCACGCGTGGGATTGAGGCGTAACTATGGTCACAACGAGGTCGAAAAGAAGTTGCTAGCTGTATAAGGTCATTAGTCTAGGAAATGAGGAACTATTCAAATATAAATGTATGAAACATAGAAAAACAACACTGATGACTACTGTAAATGCCTACAGAAAGAATAAAAGCACATATCAAGCAGTAACACCTATAAACTGTCCATGTCCTCCAGACAAATGTTGTTGTCCTGTCCCACCTAATACACCAGAACCTCCTGAACCTCCAGACCCTCCAGAGATTCCGGGAGGTTCAGGTCTAGTCCTACTTGCCAAAGCTTTAATAAACATTTCACCAACTTGTTGAGAAGTAGCTAAATCTAAAGAAGATTTCCAAATTGGTTCAGTTATCATTGTTGACCATCTTGATTTTGTTTTTTCCATTCCTCCTCCTCCAACACTCCCACTCCCACTACCTACTCCTACACCTCCACTTCCACCTCCACCTCCTATGATCCCTGATGTATTAACAACACTCATATTGATCCCACTGATGACCAGTTCCCCTCTCGCAGCAGCTCTTACTTTCTCCCCTGCCATTTTAGCTAAATTGATTAAATCCTCCACATCACCTTTCCCCCCTTCATCCACTTCCACTCGTACACGACTCGGTTCACGAGGACTGATAGGTTTTGGTTTCTTAGGTGGTTTTGGTAATGGAACTTTATCAGGTCTATTAACACGTTGCCATTCGAGATACAGAACGTCGTATGGTTGAGAACGACCGATAACGGCTCTTTTAGCTCCTACGGTATGTGATTTACATGTCAAGGAACGTGAACATGGGAGGAGTTTATCGTTTATTACACCACATTGTTTATCTAGGTTTATAGGTTCTGATGCTGGGGAGTCAGTATTCATTCGCCAATTATCATCTACCACCCCTTCTGACCCCCAAAACATCCGCTTCGCGGGCTTTTTAGAGATTAATTTCCTTTCAATTGAAGATCGACTTCTTCGACTGATGGAATATGATCGGAGCGATAACTTCAACTCCAATAAGTGACCGGTTAAGATAGACACCAAGCTCCCTATGGGTCTCACAGCAGAAGGAGCGGTTTGGGCAAGTTCAATGGTGATCCTAGGGGAATTCGATTGAATATAACGATAGTCAGGAGAAAAAGAGGGAGATGAAACACTCACCCCGGAGACGTTTCCGTTCAGCAGCAGCCGCTTTCTCCGCTTCTTTAGCTTCACGTTTAGCTACTTTTTCTTTCTCCTTTTTCAACCTCTTGATCTCTGATTTCTTCAAACCTTGATATTCCGGGTTGAGAGTAGGTGCGGGGGATTCTGATACTGGTAATCTACTACGTTTCTTTGGTGGTGAAATTGACGAGTCTTTAGATCAGCATTTTTTCCAAATATATCTCCTCCCCATGAGTAGGATTGTCTCTTTGGATACTGCCTATTTGTCCACTGCTATTGATGACTGAGAAGGAAGTAATACTGTGTTTCCAAAGAGATTCGCTATGTACAGGCGGAAACCCCTGTTGTGAGTGAGGAGGAAAAAGTAGATAATCACTCACCCTCTGAAGCTGGTCGTTTTCTCTCACCTTCAATCCTAACTGGCCCCTTATCCAATTTGATCTTTTTTCCCGTCATAGACGCCCCATTGAGGATATGTTGACAATTCTCTATAAATCAGTCCTTACATATTCATCTCCTCCTCAGTGCGTTGTATCACTCAGTACCAACCACTTTTCCATCTCTGAATTGCACTTTGGCCAGTAAAAGGAATGAGAGAACCCATTGGATAGTGTGAATCTCCAAGACTTCCAAAAAAGCAAATTGCTCGTTAATACTGTACTCACGTTGATGATCGCCCATAGCCCAGCGCATAACCCCTTTCCCACATTTCGAACATCTCACTAATTCCCTCCCCTGTTCATTCCCACTTCCCAACAACGGTCTAGCTCCAAACATGGTCATCTGACTAGCTGCCAAGAGGTCCGCCGGCGGTCTGATAGGTGAGCCAGAAGGGGATGCAGGGGGAGAAGGCGAGAAGGTGAATGGGTCTGGAGGTGGTGATCTCATCGGTCTCAATTTGATAGTCATGATGACTATGATCTATTTCTTTATTTCTAACTTGCTGAGATGGAGGTGGTGGCGACACGAGAGCTCTTTATAGTGACTATTCTACTTGAATCGTCTATGACAAGGTATCTATGGAGGACAGCGTGAAGGGAAGTTGAATGTGGCGGTTTTTGTCACTGTGGCACTTTTTTGTTGTGAAACATGATCAGGTTCCGGATCATGACCGTTTCGTATTTGAACCACGCATCACGCACGTCCCACTTTTCGCTTACGGAAACTCAACTCTCAAACATCCTTTCCCTTTCCTTCACCTTCACCTCTCTACCTTTACATCTTTCTCTTCTCTCTTCTCTTTATTTTGTTCGTTCAATATTCTATAATCTTTAATCGTCTCTTCTCTTTAGATCCTTCTTCTACTGTACCGCCTGAAAATATGTGGTCTCTCTTAGCCCTCCTTGCCACTTCTGCAGTCATGGTTCGAGGTAAGACCATTTCTTCCAGCTCTGGACAATACTAAAAGACAGGTGTGATAACTATCACTTATCCAGTTAGCGATACCATTTGGTCAGTATCTCTTCATCATCAACTCGTCCGTCCTTCTCTCTCTTCAGCCTATGGACATCTTGACTTTGGCGGGAGGTGTGAAAGACGATGGGGTGAAAGTATGACCCTGAGAGGCTTGCGTGCCACGCAAGCGATTTATAGTGAAAGCTGAATGGACAGGTATAAAAATGACACTGTCAACCTTAATTGGACAACCACCAGTTCAGACTCTGACACATACTTCTTCCGAGCTTTGTTGAGCAATTCAGATCAGAGTTTACTCTCGGGTAATCACTCGATCGCCGATTCCAGTGAGCTCCCACAACTTGTATCACTCGTATCTATCGTTTATCCCACTCTTTGCACGTTTCAGCTCTGATGTGATGGGATCGGAGGAAGAACATGGATAGAAGCTAACCATGAGCCAACGCGACCGCCGACTATGTCCGGATCCTCTTACCTGGTGTATCTTCCGGCTCAGGGTACATTGTCAACTTTGTCAATACGTCAAACGAACAACAGGTGTTCGCTACTTCTCAAGCATTCCAAATTCAAGATGGGACTCGTGAGTTTCTCACCTGCCCACAACCCTCCCCAGTCCCAATCAAATCATCCCTCCCTTCCTGGATTCGCCAGGTCCTATTTCGCTCACCGCCAATGAAGAGGAACATAGCCGAACTGACCTCAGAAACCTCACAATCATCCTCTATGATCTCGGCCACCTCAACTGTGCAACGACAGATCCCTAACGGCCAATCTTCCAGCACGACACCGTGAGCACTTATTTACCCACCACACTGACCTATCCACATGTTGACACGAGCACAATACTGAGACGTCAGGAGCTTCCCAACTACTTCATCCACTACTGGAGCTGCGCCACGAACATTCGCTTCCATTCCTGGTCTATTCGAAGTCTCCGTCACTCTCGGTCTCCTGGGAGCTGGTATGGCCTTGGTAGTGTGATGATCGGATCTGGTTGCCTCAACCACTGGACCACTGGACATTTGAAAACTTGAAGCATATGGCAGTAATAATCATGCAACGACCTTAGTTTCCTGCACGTCATGTATTTTGTGTGTGTCGAGGCGTTTCATGTCTTCATGTCAATGGGAAAGAACAGCCATCAGCACTGTGTCAAGGTCGGCATGAGAATCCGATGCATGATACAGCCGAGACAATCTCCTGTCAACCGTCGACCTAGTGTTTGGCTTTGCGGACTTGTAGCTTCCTCAGGTAAAACTGAACATGAGCGATAGTTCGTACTTTCTTCACGCGAGTGAAGGAAAAATCAATACGGATGTGGACACGAGAAGAGAGCAGAAAGAGAGAAAGGGTTACAGCACGACACTCACGTCGAGCTCTTTGCCCTCGAGGATGTATCCATCTGCTCGTCCACTTTGTCCAGGTCGCGAGGTAAGAATAGCCAACAGTCTACCAGCCTTGAATTGCTGCTCGAGGAGAGGGTCGATCTTCGCGTCCTTCTTGCGTTCGTCGAGGATACGTTTCACGTGGTTGGATTGAGTCTTTTCGGTCTGCTCTTCGGGGAGTTTCGCTCCTCGGAAGATAGGTTGAGCGTACTACAGAGTCAGTCCGGTCCTTGACACTTCTTATGTCTTTGCGAGACAACATGCGATGATACAGAAATCATGAACGACTTACGTGGGCTTCGTACCACTGTCTGAAGGGGGTAGCATCGACGTCGATTACACAGGATTTGACAAGGGTTTGAGTACGTAGCAACTCGTTGTTTGACGCATTGTATCGCTAAGGGTCAGCCACGTCCCCACTGATCAACCTCATCTCGAAAGAAAACATCTGAGGGGAAAGATCCAAACGCACCACCTGAAGCAACCTCGTCTTACGAGTCACATGCTCCGAGCCCCAAGCAAAATTCCCAGTGTCCAAACGGAGAGCACGGTATTTGGTGTTTCCACCCCTTGTGCGGACGGTGTTGATACGCTTAGAAGTGTCGAGTTTCGTCATGGCGGGTTGACGACCAAGTTCGAACTTACGCTTCTTCCGGCTGTTATTGTCAATCCAAGCGTCATCGTTATTAAGAACAGGACTGCACTCACTAGCTGGCTTTACGAGCCCCGGTGTGCGAGCGCTTGTGGCGCGAATCACGAGTGATACCCATACTGTAAAGTCAGTATGAGCGTCGGACGGTGATGCCTAACCTCCTCTCCCACGTCACGTCTTGCTATCTATCACGACGTATTGACTGATAGATTATGGCAGCAACAGCTTCGGTGGAGATTTGCGTTGAGTAGGGAGCGTGATAGGGGTGAGTTATAAAGCACTCACTTGTTGCAGGATGGAGAGTCTCTATCGGCGGACGAGTGAAAGAGGATGGAAGGGGCGAATCGCCGCAAACACCGACCCGCAGAGAATGTGGCAGAGGAGGAGTGTTTATCTCCGATGTGCGCGATTTTGCCTGTGACCGCTGCCAACCGGCGCCGGTGTGCCTGGCCGAGTCGACGTTTCTGCCATTGAGGATGGTGAAGTTCATGCAGAGAACTGCCTTGCGACAATCATGTCCAGCCTTTTGGAATGGGAGAGACTGAATCCTGGACATGAGCCCCACTTCACTCGATTCCCCTCTAGAAGGTCCACCGTCTTCTCCGCCAAAGGCGCGGTAGCGACCTCTCAGCCTCTAGGTGAGTTCCCCTGACTCGTTTTTCCTCTACTTCCAATGTTCTCCGGTCGACCTCTCCATCTTCGTCCCCTGTGAATTATCGTTGTCGCATGGTCGTGTAGCTGACCAGCAGCTTGTCAAGCAGGTATCGAAGTCCTGAATAAAGGTGGAAATGCCGGTCAGCTTTCATGCAATCTGCGAGCCCATCTGACTGATAGCCGATGCCGCAGTAGCTATGGCGGCCGCTTTGAACGTCACAGAACCCTCAATGACAGGAGTGGGGGGAGGTATGACCTTTCATCTTCTATACTCTACCCCTGCTGATGTCGAAGATATGTTCTGTCTGTTTTACGATGCTACAACTAAGACTGTGAGAGGGATCAACGGTTCAGGTCGAGCTCCCAAAGCTTTGACGCTGGAGCATTTGAGACAAAGAGGCGTAAATGGGACCTCCGTAAGTTCTTCAGGGTGTATGCTTTGTTCAGTGAGCAATATTGATGAACAGATCCCATTGACTGATCTGAACTCTGTCACTGTTCCCGGAGCAGCCGCAGGTTGGTGCAAGACGTTAGAGACATTCGGGTCGGGAATAAGTATGAAAGAGGTGTTGGCACCTGCTATCAGGATGGCAAGGGAGGGTGTACCGGCTCATGAGATCAACAGTCGGAAGGTGCGTCGTACATTTCATCGAAAGTCACTTTCGCACCTTGTTTCTCTCTGACAGTATCTGACTATCGAGATCTCCACTTGTGAGAGCTCGTTGGAAGGGGAGTTGAAGGATACTAGACCGATGCAGTCGAGTAGATATGCTAATGAGACAGTGGCAAGCCTCTGAGAAACTCATCAAGGAGGCGTCTGTCAATTGGCCTGCGTGAGTTGGTCTGGTCGAGAAGACTGAGTGCTGACCCCCAAGGATGATGATGCCAGATGGGGTGGATAGGTTCTTCCTCGCGGGATGGAAAGACGACTGATATTGAAGAATCCTCCCCTTCCTTCACACATCATGACTCATCCAGATCTGGCAGATACATTTGAAGCTATAGCCACCTACGGAAAGGATGGATACTACACTGGCCGAATAGCTGAAGGTGAGTCACATCCTCGGTCAATGTGTCTGCACTATTGCTAAACCTGCTCCTGTATCCTCCTTGAGAGAGACGAAAGCACTGCGTGCCGGGCGAAGCTGACAGAAAGCTATTGTGGAGGTAGTGCAAGGTGGTGGAGGTGTTATGTCTCTTGAAGATCTGGCAGAATGTGAAGCAGAAGTTGTGCAGCCTATCAAATACGATTTCCGCGTTGGTAAAGCTGGCGATTCTGGCGTCACTTTATGGGAGGTGAGTCTTCTTTCTCTCTCTCTCTCTCTTCATGTTCACAATGTGCTTGAAGTGCTCATTTGTCAGTGCCCTCCAAACGGTCAAGGCTTGACCGCGTTGATGGCTTTGGGTATAATCGAAGCGGTCGAGAAGAAACACAATTTCGATATTCTCAAATTGGAACATAATTCTGCTCTGTACCTTCATATACTGATTGAAGCTCTGAGATTGGCTTTTGCTGATAGTGAGTCTTCTCACGATCCCTTCTCATGTCACCCTGAATGAGATCTCTGCCTACCTCGTCGAGAAAGTTAGTGATGCAGTTTGCTGACTTGACAGCACGATACTATGTCGCGGACCCTCGTGTGGTACACGTCCCAGTGGAGGAGATGTTAAACCCTGTCGGTCTTCCTACCAATGTCGTTGTATGGAAGATCAGTGATTGATTCAGCAGAAATATCTGGCACAACGAGGGGATCTTATTCAGCTTGATAAGACGATCGAGATCTCCCGAGGGAGTCCTGTGGCAGGTAGCGACACGGTGTATCTTGCGACAGCGGATAAAGAGGGGAATTCTTGTTCGTTCATCGCGTCAAACTATGCCGGTGAGTTTTGTCCTCCTCTCTCAAATACTCTTCGACAGCGTGTTCACCCCACCCTCCTTCTACTCCCGAACGTTGGAATCGACGCGTAATATCGTCAACATACGCGCTGTGGACAAGGCTGCAGCTGTCGGGCATATACTAGGAGGACAAATACTGACGTCAGGCTTCGGGACAGGTGCGATACCCGCTGGATGTGGATTTACTCTGCAAAATCGCGGAGCGGGGTTTACACTCGAAGAAGGTCATCCGAATTGCCTAGAGGGGGGTAAAAGACCGTATCATACGATCATACCTGGTATGGCGACTAAAGGAGATGAGATTCTCTTGTCATTTGGGGTGATGGGTGGTAAGTCGTTTCATATTCATCTCCACCCTACCTGACATCCCTGCAAACCTAATAGTGGAATGCGATGCTTCATAAAATGCGGTAAAGATGTAGAGTGAAGTTCAAGATCACTTATCAATCCATGATCAAAGTGGGGAAATGAGAGTTGTGGAGAAGTAATGTTGTGAGAGAAGTTCAATTGATCAATCTAGCTTTCATGCAACCTCAAGGACACATACAAGTACTACTCAACAAACTGAGAGGTTTCACACCTCAAGCTTGTTTGGACGCACCGAGATTCTGTATCTCATCCGGTACACCTACCGGTGGTCAATCGGATAGAGCGGGGGATTTCAATAGTGAGATATGGTTCGAAGAAGGGATTCCTGATAGTGTTTTGGATGAATTGAGAGGTGAGTTCATTACTTCCCTCGTGCGGGTCCTCATTCTCCTCTAGAAAGTCCCAAATACACAGACGTTCTTATCTTTCTTGAGTTATTGTTGCAAGAACCATTCATCTCTAATTGCACACTTCAGCCTACTATGTGTTTTTATGAGGTAGAGGGACACATGAAAGATTTTAGAATGGGAGTATAAAATATTGGATTTTAGAAGGGCAGTATCAAATATTGGTTTTCAGCAGGGGAATATAAAGCTATAGATTTGAGAATGGGAGGATGAAAGTCCAAGAGTTCAGAAGGGGAATACCAAATACCATATCTGAGAAGGGAGACCTAGGATACAAAGAGGGGGAAACAGCTGACAGAAAAGCAATGGGTCATCAAACGGAAAGAGCATCACATTGGCTTCGCGACATTTTAGGAAAAGGACAAATGATCCAAGCTGTTCGAGATCCATCAGGAAGGACAGTCTGGGCGTGTGGATCTGATCTTCGTGGTGATGGTTGTGGACTTGCTCAAATCTGATCCATTTCCCTCTCATCTCATAGTATCTTTCTCATCAGTCACATGGTGCGTTGCTAAATGTTTTTGGTCATTAAAATGGATGTATGGACTTGTCAATTGGATCAGTGTAGTTGACAAAAATGCAGTTTAGAAGCGATTAAACGCTTTTGTTACCAACACTAGCTTGAAGCTTATCGGTTCATCTCCTACAATATTCTTTTCGGTGAAATCGGTTTCTTGCCATGCTGAATCGTTATTCTTGAGACGAGAAACATATTAGACAGGACGAGATTTGTAAGAGAAACATCCGAAAGAAGATGACAAAGTGATCAATTTTGCATTCGTCGAGTCACTTGAAGCCACATCAGGTGGGCGCCAGAAACTCTACAATCTCCAATGCCGATCTAACACATTCGACATGAGCTGGTAAACCACCTTCAAAACCCCATCTGGTCCTTCCAAGACATGTCAACCTCCAATATTCTTTCCCCAATTTACTCCTTCTGTCCTTTACCTTTATCTCCTCCTCTTCTATCCCTCTACCATTTTGTGCAATGATGTGATATATGGTCGAGACATGAGTCTGAGCATCTGGTGAGGATTGACTTAGGATGAAAGTAGGGAAGAAGATTTCTTTCCCTTTCCCTCTCTCTTCCGTGAAGGGTCTGTCGAATGTAGGATCAGACGATGGGACAGATGGGATAGATGGTGAGAGAGGAAAAAAGATGGGGCGTGGGGCGATAGGATGGAATGATCCGATGAGGGATTCATCGATCAGTCTAGAAGAGGGATCTGTGAATGTTGATGCAGGTATGTTGGTCGGTTTAGGGGGTGAGAGGATAGATGGTGGAGGGGGTGGGAGAGAGGGAATAGTGAGGATTGTCAAGGGGTGAGTGGAAGATGAATATGATTTCCAAGCTAATTATCAGCATGTTCGCCTCAAGCTAGATTATGACTTTCAGGCAGGAATTATCATTCAGATATTCTTATAGCGGGATCGGGGAAATTTTAGCCATTGCAAGACATTGTCATGGAAGAGTTGGCAGATACCCTAAGATAGCAAACGGAGTATGAACAGGATGAGCCACATATATTGGATAGCGGACGGTCGGAATGAGGGGTGAGAGGCAGTCCACTTACCTTCATACTCTTCCAAACTCATCTCCCCCATCCGTACAACCGCCATCTCTATCGAACTCCCTTGAGATCCATGCCAACCACAAACCCAATCCCAAACCTTCCCTACGACCTCCGAAACCCCATCCACCATCCAAGTCTGAATTTGCCATTGTTCACCTTGATCATCCATCACACAAGCGACCACGAGACCTGTTGTCTTATCGACCGAATAGGCACAATGGACAATACGATCCCTATCGAGGACTTCATGGTTTTCCACTGGCCACTTAAGCGAAAGAATTGATTTGGGAGGGGTATCAGGGACCAGGGTGAAGGATGGATGTTGCATGTATAAATCCTTATCGGATGAAGGTAACGTAGAAGGAAGGGTACGATCACGCTCGATTCTTCGGACATGTCGAGGGAGGGAGTTGTATGTGTCGAATAAGAGTCCTTCGGGGATTGTGGGTGGGGACAGGAGAGAAGGTGGGAGAAGGAGAATGGGAATTTTATGATGGAAAGACTTTTTGGAAGAGAACAAGGGATTGAGAGTTTGGATAGAATGTGAGAAGATGAAGATGATGAGTGAAGTGTCTTTGGTGCGTGTGTCGACTGGAGGGTTAGTATTGCACCTGAATACAGATGTCCAAGTTCATCGGCAGCAAAATGGAATTTTTGATTGAAGGTAAGTTTGTGATACTGGAAGGAGAGATGAAAGGAAACAAGGATGATCTGACTCAAAGTCTGTTACAGTAGGACAGTGAAGAAAGGGAGTAGGAGGAATTCAGAGAAGACGCACGCTCCATTGCCAATTCCACCATCTTGCCAGGTTGAACACATACGACTCGTCTATCGGCATCACATACCTTACCAAGTCTGTGAGCTTCCCAACTCTCTCCGAACCTGTCCGCCCACTTCTCAGCTACAACCCTCCATTCGTCCGGACCGTCAATGACGATCCAAGCTTCGAAATTCTTTCTCCCACCAGCTGGCTCTAAACCCAATTCCCTCCATAACTTTAGTCCTGCGATAGACATGTTTGTGATATGACCATGGAAAGCCAAATTGACACGAAGTTGTCCATATGTCGTGGAGACGACATCACAAGTACTAGACTTGTCAACCTCAGGAATGTCGAGCTCGGACAGTGAGATACCATCCTCCGTGAGATCCGGTAAGATGCTGTGATGTTTGCCAATTGTCAAAGCACTCTTAGAATGTGGTATCAACGCTCTGGTCGTTCGACTGAGAATCACATTTGACAGCAGAGGATCAAGCGTAACGATTGTCACCAATCGACGGACTTGATCTTGTGTAGATTTCTCTTGGAAGGATTGTCGTGTTTGGCCAGACGGGAGCGTATTGGAATGTTTCCAGGATGGATCCCAAGGTTTAGCCATGGCTACAAGTCGTTCAAGATCATCTTTGAGAACCACCCATTCCGCCCCTACACATACATGGCCTCGAAAAGTTATCGGCTCACCTTGACCATGACCATGTTGCGGAGCCGCGGGAGTGACATGAAAGGTCATATCGAAATCTCCATCATATTCCGTTCTAGGTGTGGGTGGAGCATCTGAAGTTTCATCCATATCGGAGGAAGACGACGAGTCAGAGTTTAAATCCCAATTAGAGGCGTAGTCGTATTTCTGTCCCGGTGTCGGTTTCCGAGTGTAGGTACTTCCTGAAGTGATGGAAGAGTATAATGCTGGTCGAGTGTAAGGAGCGGAGTCTAAGGATATGGGAGAGAAAGGGTCTGGGATGATATCGGCCAGTGGAGACGTTTTCATTATGTGGGTTTCGATGGGAGGTGAGTCGGGTCGATCGACATCTACGTCTGGGGGTTCAGGAGAGGGAGCTTTGTTTGATGGAGAGCGTATGGGGATGTTATCTACTTCTGGAGAAATGGGCCGTTCGGGAAATTGTGATTGGTCAACGGTCATCGGGTCCTCTTCTTCAGGATGGACAGTCTTGTCATCAACAGGACTATCGAAGAAGTCAAAATCATCCTCGGTGATCATTGCCGTTTCACCCACGCCTCCTGATCCACCTGCGTTGACTCCGCTCATTTGCCAGTTGTTCGAACTATTTGACGACTGGGCGACGGTCAAACTCTGGTTCTCGAGACTGTTTGGAGGGATCGATTGTCCTAGTGATGGAATCGGTTCAGGCGGGACAGATTCGAAAGGTTCCATTATGGGACTAGACGTTGCAGAAAATAAATCGTCGAGATCGGAGCTTTGTTCCTTATCTTCAGATGACTCCGTGTCGGATGGCTCTGGCTCAGGCTCAGGGTACGGTTCTATCTCAAATTCTGTAGGTTTATCAGGAACATCAACGTCAATCCCTTGATCTGGTGATTTACGCTGAGCGGCGAGAATATCATGAACTTTCGAAGCGACGTTGAGAAGATGACTGGAGGAAGGTATGTTGACAATGGGATTGATCTTGCTTCGTGTAGAAGTACGAGGAAACTTTTGGTTGGGCGGTGTGGAAAGATGAGTGGGCCAGATAGTGATCACCCCTTCACCTTTCGTCCAATCATGGGATTGAGAATCTAGAGGGACCCAGTAGACCGACCAGTCGGAAGATGGTTCATCTCTCAACCTCCGGCATAGATCGTATTCCCACTTGGAAGATTTCCATGAAGTACCAAGAGCGACGGAGAAAGCATCAGAGCAAGTTTGTTCTTGAGTGGGGGTTAGAGAAAGATAGTCCAGGTATATGGCCGATAGTCCAAGTGGCATGAGAGTGTGTAGTGAGGATCCTGAGAAATTGGGACGTGGATGGGCGGTAAGCAAGAGACGAGAGTCGGATAAAGGCCATAAGGAGGATTCTAATGGTGGTGTCCTGATTTATATTAGTAAAATGGATGATCAGAGGAAAAAAACTTAGAACTCACATAAGTGAGGATGGAATCATGAATATACGGTTACCAGTGTTCCAAGAGATTTTCTCAACTATGGCAGATTTGAAAGCGTGCCAGATATCACGTTGTTCTTGAGAGAAGTCGAAGTGTACCTCGCAAGTACCGGCACGTAGACAGTGAAGTTTATCATCATGATCGTCGCATCGTACCAGGTCAGAGGGACGGATTGTGAATATTTTGGAGCCTGCAGAGTCAGTTCAACCAGTATTGGATTCTAGCGCACTAGAGTACTGTGTTGGGAAAGAGAAGAGCGGTAAGATAGCAACTAGGGCTAACAATCTCGAAGTAGAACAGACGTCAAATGGGAAGTGAAAGTGACGAGATATAGGGGTCAAGAAGGTGCATCGTTCATATTGTAAAACTGAGTACTTTCTGAAGGATAAGGATGAGATCATAGAAGTGATGAAGTAGTAACTTAGTTGTAAATAGAACTTACCATACAACCCTTCCAATTCAGGCCACCCTTTTTCAACTCCAGACGAAGTGAAAACCCATAATCGACTCTTCCAAATGATCCCACAAAACCCATCTAAAATCTTATCCACACCTCTTTCTCCAGTAGAAGATCCGTTGATGTTTCTCCATCCTTCTTCCAAAACAAATTCACCTCCATCCCCTATCTGCATTACGGGTCGAACACCAAGTCCGATTTCCTCTCCCGTCTTAAGATTTGAAGGTTCACTAATCTTACTTTCATCCTGTATTCTGGAATAAGAGCGATAATGTATTTCTGAAACAGTATTGAGGATCCAATTTCCCACCAAAGAGGTATTGGGTAGAGCTGGTTTGTTCCTCAATATATCCATTGTGGCCGTTTACGAATCGATCTGTGACTGGTGAACGGGTGTCATCTGTGGAGTATATAACGAGATCTGTTGTTCTTAAGATAGAGAGGGGATGGAATGGAGAGATGGTGTCGGGATCATGGACATAGAGTGATGGGCGGTGAGATGAGTTACGGTCGGAATGATGATTTGAACATTATTTGTTAGTTGGGCTTTGAAATGTGCGAATTGCCTGAAGGTGCGATGATGCTAAGATTGTCGATGCTGACGCTGATATTGGTGATAATGCTGAAGGTATATCTTGATGTCGAAAGATGTAAGCTATCTGAATGTGAGATGTATACAATAGATCGTGTACAGTTGAGTTGAGTATATGGTGGTGAATCGGAAGTGACCACTAACTCGATCTCGATTTTGTCTTTTATCTTTCCGTCGAATGCGTTGACAGCAAACGTGAGGTAGGTGGAAAGCATGCGTACAAGGGCACACTCAGCATACAGTAGCAAACAACTATCAGCACGCAACAGCCGCTACTTTGACAAACTCGCAAACATGCATCTTGCTGTATATACCTACTACTGAGTGCAAGCAATTGTCCATAAGAGTCTCTCTCTTCTTTCTCACAACATTTTCCACAATTCTAGCTTTTTCTTGCAACATGCACTATGGCTTGCTCAATTGTTCACGTCGGAAGAAGACTGCGTATCCTACGACGATGACCAGCTGTCAATGTCAGCAAAAGCCTTGCAGTCTTAACTGGGTCAAATGTATTACCGACCGAGCATGTCGGGCGGCGGAGGGAGTGTCCTATATGAACCACCGCTGCTGTGCGAGCATTAAGAATGGGTGAAGGAAGAGTTCAAGGGATGGAAGGGGATGGGGTATGGGGACTGGAATATCACAGTTGTGTCATAGTGTAGCGATGATGTTGGAATAAGAGGAGAAAAGAGAACCTCGACTCACCTGACACACAAGACACAGCCAGAATTCCCAATGCACAAATGGATTGTTCTTGCCAGTTGACAAATCCCATATAGCCGCATTAGGGAAAACGTTTCCAGGTCCCACCTTGTCCGGAGCAGTCGCACGAGCAATCATGACCACCGCGGAACCTAAGATCTGGGCACCGGCGAGAGTAGCACATACGTGTAGACGTGAGAGTGTTTGAAGAAGGATCATACCAAGACCGACACCTTGAATGGCGTCGAGTACACCGAGCCATAGCCAGAGACATGTACCGCTGAATGTCAATGGGGTTGCAAACGTGACGAATAGGACAGGGAAATAGGGTCGTATAGTCGGTTCTGCTCGAAGGAGATAGGGGATAGCGTTATGAAGACAAAATAGAAGAGGAGAGTGAGCTCACATGTAAGGTCCTGCAGCACCTCCCCAAGGGATATACAACCCCATCCCTGATGTACCCCACCACATTTGACACCATCTCGGGCATCCTAGACCGATAGCGAAGATGGGTAATAACCACGAATGAACTTTTGAGTAACCTAAAAGTCAGTATTACCCTCATGATTCCAATGAGAGGACTTACGGATGAGCAAACCCATGATCATGCCCCAAACACCGATGAAGAAAATGGCAATCATCACCACCACTGCCCACTTCGGTACATCCGCCGCTGCCCAGAGGAATTGCCAATTACGACCGTACGGGCCTGAGAGCCAGTAATCACGAAGGATTTCAGAAATCAAGAACCAGATGACCAATTTACGTCGGAAGAGTGTATGGAAAAAGTTGGGTACATAGGGTGGGATCTATTTCATCAGCTTACACTCTAGAATCCCCTGGAGAAGGGAGGGACTCACTTGTTGGTAATACTCTGGTACTCCACGGAACATGAGATAGGCAAAGCCTAAACTGATCACCGCAAGCGGCCAAACCACATACATGATCGCCCTTGGTGTCACGTACAGAGCGGGGTCAATACCATTGAGTGTGTAACCCCAATACCATAATGCCGAAACCCAAATCTGCTGAAGACCTTGGACGATACATGCTCGGGTGACCCAAACCTCAGTCGCGGCACCGGCTTCGTCACCAAAGTTGAGACCGAAGAAAAGGAATCCGGCGGAAGAAGCGATGGCGTAGAGCCAAGTAGCGACTCGGGTGATGGTAGTTCGCGGACCGGTGAAGACGCCGTGGAGAGAAGGGAATCCGATGAGCAGGAATGCAGCGGAGAAGAGGAGCCAAGGGAGGGAAAGAACCCAGACAGAGGGCTTCATACGGAAGAGGGTATACCAGGCGAGGGTGGAGACGAAGAAAATGGAGCAAATAATGTACAAGTCGACTTCTTTCAAGGTGTTCGAGCCGGATAAGAGAGAAAGCTGGAATGAGGTCTGGAAGTAAGCGCATCATTCAGAAGTCATCTTTAGAACGACTGGGGAGAGATCACAAGGCTGGTTGGTGAATGAGAATATACGTGAGAGTCATCGAATCAACTCACGGCAGATAACAGTTGACCAAGAGAAATGATGATAGTGTACAATGGCCAACCGCCAATTTTGCGCGACATGAAGATTTGCAATTTCGTAAAGTGCGTCTCGGGTGGGCCTTCGTGATCGTACATGTCTCCACCATAGTGGTCGCTGTCGCCCGGACCCATCATCTCGTGATCATGGCCAGAGTGGGAGTAAGGAGCGGTGTATGAATCGCGAGCGGCTGGTGATCAGTTGCGGTTCACACATGTCTTGCCAGCATTTGTGTCAAGGAACAAAGGCCGTAATTGAGGTTGTTAAAGGGGAAGGGAGTGAGATGCCAATGGGAGAATCAATTGGTACGCTGGTTGAGGTCGTCAGAGAGAAAGAGGAGGGGCGGGTGGACAAAAATGAACTTACACTCCGGTCTGAACCCATCCATCATGCTAGCCGGTCGACTCTGCATAAAGCTATCCCTTGAACTACGCACACTCTGAGCTGCAATCATGTCTTTACGCGCGTCGTTGAAGTATCGTTTTTCGCTCTTCTGAAGGAACTCATCGATACAGAGTTCTTTCTTGGAATTTCCAGCGGTAAGATGCTGGAGTTTCTGAACGAAAGTCTGTGCGACTTCTCCGTCCGAATCGGTGAACTGAGGTCAGCTGGTTGTCGTGATCAACAGTACACAGCTGCTGATGATGGGCACAGCTCTCAGGAGAGAGATGGTCAACAAGAAAACATCACGCCACGATGATAGCAAAGGAGGGCCAGTAAAAGTGGAGAACAACTTTGCGCTTGCACCAGGGGAGAGGAAAAGAGGTGGAGCATATAGAGAAGTAAGAGCGAGGAAGGTTGAGAGAGAAGAGGTACAAAGTAGAAAACCACTCACAGCTTCCATAGCCTTGTTCAAAGGCGAATTTCCCTTCTCATCCACTATACTTGAAATACTATCGAAACTATTCGCTCTCGAGCTAACACTGAACGGCCTGGGAGGTGCGAAATTACTATCTGAACTCATAGAGCTCATCCTCCTTGAATCCATGAATGGATCCGGTGCGTTTTTACCTCCATTTTGTTTACTAAATTGTCGATTTGCAGCAGCCAAGAAATTATCATAACTCTGAGGTTGTTTCGGTATAGCACCGTTTCCTTCTCCTGTTGGACCTGATCCGACGACGGTAGTATCTCCTTCTCCTTGATCCGAGCTACCTTGAGAAGAAGGTACATCTTCATCATCATAACCCGCAAAGAACTTTTTACCAGATTTACGTTTATCTTTATCTTTATAATACAATGGGCCGGCATTAGGATCCGGTTCTTCATCGTAAAAGCTTTCTGCAGATTGACGATTTTGTGCTTTTTGCTGAGCGAATCGATTATGATATGCTGCACCTGCTGATAAACTGTTGTTGTCGTTATTACCGGACATGGGAGCATTAGGATCGAAAAAGTTTTTGTCGGCAAGAGGACTATTTCCACCTGGTAATTGACGTTCTTGTGGCATTGGAGATGGAGGTGCGGAAGAATCAGGTGTACCTGGTCTATTCCATTGTTGTAATGAAGTTGTTGAACCAGCTTCGGCATGAGCGTAAAGTCCGGCATTCATTGATCCTACTTGATCGTAACCCCAAGCGTTCTCACCTGCATGAGCACGAGAGGTGGCAATAGATCGACGTTGAAAATCTTCTAATCGTTGACGCCATTCTACCACTGGGAAACGTTGGACGGCAGATCTGGCACGAAGAATGGCACGTTCCTCTTGAGTCGATTTGAGAGCCAGTTTGATGGTCTTGGTTAATTGAGATAACATGTGTACCGTGGCCGAAGATTCAACGGGGAACCACCAACCGGGCATGAGACCAAGACCTCCGAGTCGAGAACCGACACCGAGGGCACCTTTACGACCGAATTCCACAGCGACAAGACCGAAGGGTTCATCTCGAGAGGGAATGAGAGCAAAGTCGGCACCGGAGAAGAGGTAAGGTGGAAGGGCAGTGAACTCAGGTTTGGAATAGACACGATCGGGATACATTTCCATTAGACGAGCGAGTTTTTCAGCGGCGAATCGACCATAGAGATCAATGACAGGTCCAACACAGATGAGTTGGATTTGAGATTTCTTCTCCAATAAACCGGGCATGACATCCGCGATCAGATCAACACCTTTTTGTTTCGACCATCGACCGACGAATACGAAGAGATCGGCATTGGGATCCTGCTTGATCCCGGCCCATTCTTGCGCTTGACGTTTGAATTCAGGACGTTTAGACTCGGCGTCTTGATCAACAACGATCTTATCCACCGCGAGAGGTTGTTCATCGAGAGCTGCGATATCGGTTGGATCGGGATTGGGCAACGAATCGATATTTCTCAATGTCCACAGAGCGGGGTATCGAGCCCAAGAACGTTTACCATATTTATCAGACACACCGGCAACACCGACTGATTTTTGGTGATGCGAGATGTAACTGGCGGCGGCGTGAAGAAGATTGAACGTGTTACCGAATTGGACATACTTGCTGCAAATTTCCTTGGGGATGTTGAATGCAGCGCACACTTCCTTCATCTCATCTTTCGTCCGCAATGGCCATAAACCCTGGAATTCTGCATTGTGTAACGAGAGACAAACAGGCATGACCTTGGGGAGGAGATAGAGAGGAGCGAGAGCACCGTGATAATCGTTTATATGGTAGATGTCGACAATTGGATTACGTCTGATAGCCTCTGCAATCGCTTGATTCCAGGTAGAGTAGAAGATGGCAGAAGACAGATCGTCCATTCTCTGAGGATAAGGGTCCGATTTCGTTTGAGCTCTGAACACAGGAGAGTCAAGGATGATATAAGTGATATTGTCCAATTGATGCGTTTCCACCTCAATCAAGTATGGCTCTCCAAAGATGACGACCTCAATAGGTTCGGCGTAATCTCCTTGCGGATAGTCTATATCTTGGACTTTCGGAACGACCCAGAGCAAATCGACATCGGTCATTGCTTTACCCATCAAAGTGGACATGACACCAAGACCGCCGATTTTGACTTTTAGTTTCCAATCCAGAATCTCATATTCCAAAGTGGCAATGAGCACTTTACGTCGTTTATTGACATCCTCTGGCCATCCGATGATCCGTTCGGGTACTTTGGAAGGTTTATCAGCCATGACCAAAGCGCCTTTTTCGTCCAACTCTCCCTTCTTTTCCTTGTGTCCTCCAACAATCGGGAAGTAAGCCTCTTTGGCAGGCTTTAGACCCCATTTGTTGACTTTGATGGTATAAAACGAGTATCGGAAAGTGGCCGCGGCGCCTAAAGCAGTGATGACGGGAATGGCGAAGAGCAAGGCAAAGGCGATGATCGTCACATTTTCATGACCTATGGGAGTGACGCTCCACTGACCAGTTTGATCATTGACGAGGATGTTCCAAGCGAGATGAGGAGCTGGAGGCATCGACATATTGAGATAGTTTGGGGTCAGAGCGTTGGGGGGAAAGCGGTCGATGATACCATCACCGTCGGCGTCACCGTAGAAGAAGTCATCGTACGAGTAAACGTTGAGCTGAATATAACTTGGCCAAGCGGCACTGAGGGGCATTTCCCAATTCGCGGAAGATGTCAACGCAAAGCTGGCTCGAGCTCCCAAGTCGTAACCCCAAGTGTTGAAAGCACCACGAGCCAAGATTTGGGGATACCGTCTTTGTCCTCCCGACCAATTGGCGTCGCCGTGTACTACATAACTGGACGACGCGGCGAGTTTGGAGTAATATTGTACTTGAACGTGATAACCTTTCCACCAGTTATTCGCAAACAGCGTCGCATTGAGAGTGCTCGTCGTCTCATAATCCTGCCAGGGGGACCAAGTCTGTCCAAAGTTGCCAGAGTAACGGAATTTGTCGGCACCTGGGGCAGAGTGATTAAGAGTGAATGTATCGCCAGATACGGAGAGTAAATTGTCGTTGTAATCAGCATCTATTGGGAAGACCATGGGATTGTCGCTTTGACCCCTACGGAGCAGCAAGTGATCAGTCGTACCTGTGGAAGGGCCGTTGTTTTGGCTGGCGACACTGTTGATGTTGATCACGTAGATTCCATCGGCAGCGTTTTGAATCTGGGCCTGCCATCTCCACAGCGAGGGTGAGACGGACACAATATCGGGATCAGGCTGCTTGTCCATACTCAAGCAGGATCCTGGCAGAGATAGAGACGGATTACCGTTGCCTGTGAATTGAAGCGATACGGCGTTGTTCATGCTGTCACAATCCATTAAAGTGTCGTACTGGATTTCGATGCTGATAGTATCACCAGACGACAGGATTCGGGCGTCGTGTCCAGGGATGAACTGGGAGATCGTTGGTGGTTGTTGCACCCATTGTGAGAGGGGAACGAGAGCTTTGTACTCGAAAGGTAGCATGGTAACACTATTAAGACAGCCGACGAATGGAGCGGTACCGTTGATGTAGAAGGATGACATCGAGTCTCGGAGGGTGTATTCCTCGTAAGGGTATAGTAAGTTGCGCACCACTGTGCCGCCCGTGTACGGCGATGAGATCCAGTTTTCCGATGTGCAATCATACGTGTATGGTTGCGTGGCATTCTCGTTGGTGTAAAGAAGCCAAACGGGCTGGGAGATGGCACCATCAGCCTTGAACTGTCCCTTGCCGAGCTGGGCTTGGGCAGGTCCACGGGTGACAGAGTACAGACCGAGTTCGGTCACGGTACCGTTGGAACCAGGGAGAGTAATATCATGAGTCCATTTACCAAGATTGGTGACTTGAAACCCGTCGAGGAGCGAAGGGAACTGCGTTCTTAACCAAACCATGTTACGAATGCCGCGGAATGGTATGGCGGTGGGATCGAAGTGATCGAGGGAATTCCAGTCGTCTTCGCAACCTGAGAGGGCTCTACCAAGAGGCATGTTGTAATATTGTCCTGAACCCATCATGTAACACCCGTGTCGTTGCCATGCTTGAGTGCTGACCATGGGCTGACGACCATACAAATAATTGCTAGCCTGTGAGTCGTATAAATACAAACCTTGCTCCTCACCATACCACAACAAAGGCATGCCGGGCAGAACGAGTGTACCGATGAACTGTCCGAGCTGTTGACGCTGTGTCCCGTTGACGATCGATGGCCATCTGAACACATCCTGATTGGTGGTTCCATACAGGTGTCGAGGGTCGAAATCTGCCGAGACGGGATTGATGAAGTCGTCATTGGCAGCAAGCTCGTTCCATGCGATCACGAAATCCACGTCGATATCATACGCCACTTGAAGATTACCGTCCATGCCCAGGAACCGACAGAGAGATCGATAGATGGAATAGTGAAACGCAGCAGAGTCGAGTCCGTTCAATCCCTGGTCACGGAGAAAGAATTGAGCGTCAGAAGGGGTGATGTTCATGGCCGTGTCGGGGTCGGGTGGCCTGAGACGAGGGGTACGTCCACGACCGATGTAAAGTGCTCCAAACGTGTCTCCACCAGTGACTTCACCTGGGATGAAGAAGTTATCTTTGTTGTACAATTTGGCGCACTCCCGAGTGGCTTTTGCCCACTGTGGCAGGAAGTCGACGGTCACCTGTGTGGCCTTGTCGATACGGATACCATCGACGTCGAGGGCTTGGATGAACAAACACGAAAAGACTTGGAGGCGGTCGCGAACATATGGATTCCATTCCCGGAGACGATCCTGCACTGAAGCGAACTTGGCCAGCTGTCGTTGCCAATCCGGGAAAACACCAAAGGCTTCAACATCGCCGTAGTGATCAAAGCTTGAGGCATAACAACCGGTTTTACCAGGATCAACGACCGACCCATCTTCCTCCCAGAACGTGGGGTACACACATGAATCGTTGTATGTGTTGGTGAAGTTCCAATCGGGATACTTGTCGATTCCCCAAGGAGGGTATGGCGGTAATTTCCATCCGACGTCGTATTCGTTGATGTTGAACGGTGCAGAGCTGTTGAAATATTTTTTGAATCCGATCATATCTCCCATGGTACCGACGGTGAAATCGACGATGATGTACATGCCACGGGCATGAAGAGCATCGATAAAGTCGATCCAATCCTGCAAGGTGCCGTAGTGGGGGTCCAAGAGTGAGAAATCAATGGCAGAGTAACCATCAGACTGCCAAGGCATGTTGAGAAAAGGAGTGCCGGCAATGTAGATAGCACGGTAACCCAAGGCGTAAATGTAATCCAAACCTCGAGGGTCCATGAGACCTCGTGCGTCACCACCAGCCCGCATCTGGGTCTCGCGGTGATCATACTCGTGCACGAGACCGAAAAAGTCATTGTTTGAAGGGTCACCGTCCATCCATTTGTCGGCGAGTACGGTGTAAACGGGAATTTGCTGTTTCGTGAGCGGACAGGCTATTGAGAAGCGAAATAAAAGGGTAAAACTCACTCTCCAGTTTGGGGGTGATTTGGTGTATGTTATGTTTGATCGCGTAGTGTTATAAAAAAGGGGATCGGTGGCATCTGTGCATTTCGTCAGCTCTCAACCATTCGAGCGACGAAAGGTAGTAGGATCATATGAAGAAGTTGTTGGACTGACCTTGAGCTTTGTTGATGTTCCAGGGGTCCAAGGTCTCGTTGTATACGTGGGCGAAGATGGAGGGAAGGAGTAGAAGGATGGAGAAGATGGTCATGATCGGCCGCAATGGCCAAGGTGAAGGTCGTAACATGCAGACAGAAGATGAAAGATGATGAAGTGCGATGGATGAAAGGTAACAAGAGGTGGAAAAAAACAACAGAGGCTGTGGGTGGTGGATTGAGGCTGGCTGGCTGGCCGCCTCGCCGGTGAGACGGCGTCGGGGTTTAGAACGCTCTATGAAACACTTTTGATGACAGAGCGGGGTGTGAAAAGGGAGAATGGGGAGATTGAGAGTGACAGAACGGTCGTCGGGCCCGCCCTATGGATGAGGATTGATGTGAGGACAGGATGTAAGATGAATGACAAGCAGTATAAAAGAGAGCCAAGATTTGTATGGCGAGGTGCAAGAGATGCGAGAGGGAGGGGGACAAGAAGCCAAAAGGGGGGAGCCAAGGCGCGGCAATGCAGAGCGGAATCAAATTCTCATCGGAGGGGTGCGGGATCGGTCAAGTGCACGGACCCCATGGCCTAGACGCGTCTCGCTGCCACTAAGCGGCACATGACTCGATAAGCGCGTTTTTCACTCTCTAAATGACGGCACGTTTAAACACGACAAGCGACAAGGATTCATCTACGAAAACATGACTACATGCTTAGGTCATTTCGACATCCCCACCGGCCTAAACACGTCAGCATATCTCAACCGGCACCATCACTCACCCCGCCACCACTCATAAAGCTGTCCAGTTCCTTGTCCAAGTCTCCTTGATTAGCGACTCCTTTCCTGGCACCCACTGCACTGCCTCCCCTTCCTCTCGCCCTTCCACCGCTATCTCTCAGCCGACCATCCATCTTATTGTTGTATTAGACTCACCGGAATCCACCACGTCCTCTCGGGGCCGTGTTAGTGGGCGTTGATCCACTAGAAGCTGTTCCTCCGGCGATGCGGGCAATCAACGGCTTGGAAGATTGCGGCGTCACTTGAAGTCTTGGTGTCACCGGAGGGAGGAGACGAATCGAGATGGTTTGGCCTGGATGATTAGCACGACTTGGCCACCATGGTCTGATCTGCATTACAATGTACATACAAAGAGCCGATAGCACCCGAGACAATCACTCACCCTTGGTCATGGCACCGTCAAACTTGTTGATCGCGATCTTGGCCTGCTGAGCAGAGGCGTACTCCATCGTTGCCACGCCGGTCGAGCGTCCAGAGCGGTCATACTGAGCGAGTAAGGAGTGAGAGATACTGTGTGTCAGTAGAGAGACAAGGACATGATAGACTCACATTATGACACAAAAGAGAAGACATGGTAAGCTATTGTTCCTTCATCTTATATTCCTACCCAAGTCGACGAAGCATGCTGGCCGACGTTCAATGGGTCATGCTTTTTGTTCCTGATTCATGATTATACTATGACGCTTACTTTGATAGTGGGTCCTTGGACCAGGGTGCCAGCTTGAGAGAAGATGTTCTGGGAGTGAGCGAGGAGCGCAAAAGGCTCTTGAGTTGTGTACCATGCCGACTGTAAACGCAACTCCTTACACGATGTCGCAATCGCTTGATATTGTAGAGACCACAAGTGTTTGTGCAGGACAGGTCGTACAGCAGGAGTAAGACTAAAAAGAGAGATGGGAGCGGAAACGACTCACCTTGAGATCCACAGGCGTCACTTCATAATGTAATCCAACCACTTCTATCCTTGGTGAGATCCCAGTGAACCCAGAGCCAGTCCCTGCGACCGCTGCGATCCCATTACCAGCAGAGACTATCCTCCCGCCTCTCCCTCTGCCACCGGATCCTGGACCGCGGAAAGCGTCGTGGACCCATTTATCTTCTGTGGATCTTGGCGGGGGTCTCTGAGAAATGAGCATCAATCATCATCCAAGCTCCACTCCAATATCTCATTCAAAGGTAGCCTACTTCATCCTTCTCGAAGTTTAAACTACGTAGAGGACTGAGACGCCCAGGTGAATATGAGTAAGTAGATGGGAGATGTACTCACGGCATAAGGAGTACCTTGTTCTCGTTTATTAGGCAAACTTCTCCTTCCTCCCTTTCCAGACTGACGTTTATCGGCGATCATATCGTCTAGAGATTTATCTACGTCCATCTTGAGTATACACTGATGTGACAAATACGAACGAGAGATGACAGGATACTGTTAAGGGTGGGAAATAAGAGATATCTTGGGAAGATATCGCAAGGAGGTTTCGTCTCACCCCAAAGGCTTTCAGCCCCTTGCACGCCTAACTACATCGAACGACGGATGTGTTGGAGGTATTGCAAGCCTAAGTGAAGTCAACCTGCGCGTCTGTCTTTGCCATGAGTTAACGGCCATGAGAACATTTCATACATTTCACAGTGTTGTTCTTTGGCTTACCTGACATCTCGAGCTGTCAACTCATGAGACAAGAGATAACTATGAGAGAAAGATTTGAGAGATCTTAAAGAAGTTGAAAGGAAGAGAAAGTATGAGGATCGCGCCCGTTCCTATCGCTCCTCCTTCCCCTTTTCCCACCCCGACCTCAGCTGAACCGGTCGGAACCCCTCGTAAAAGACCCATGCCAGTGGTCGAAGTTCCTTCAGCTAAACGACGTCGTATCGAAGTTCCTTCCCCTTCCACACCTGGAACCCCTCAGACCATCCTTGGCAGTCCCTCTGCTTCCACCCCCCGCTCCAAACTCAACCGGCGCAAAGCCGACCGACCTGCCAAATCTACCAGACCGAACGACGAAACTCCCAATCTGAAAGATGCAAAACAAAGCAAGTTCATCAAAGCTCTCACTCAATCAGCTCGAAAACCGGCTCCTAATCGTACTTCTCAACCGACCACAGTCACTCCCATTAACAAACCCGTCAGAACTACACTTTCTTCGTCAAAGAAGAACCATGTGAGTGGTGGAGATGTCCCGAACTTCGACGAAGCATTCGATGATACACAAAATGAGAATACGACAGGAGAAAAAGGATGGAGTAGAGAGAGCTTTTTGGTGAATGAACATCTGAGGACTCAGAGGGAAGCGAGGAATTTCGTTTATGAGGGAAGTGCCGATGCTCCGAAACTGACCAGAAGTGGACGGGTTTTGGGAAGTGCAGTTGATGAGTATGGAGCGGGTAGGGAGACTCCGGACGAGGATGAAAGATCAGAAGCTCTGGAAGAAGATCAAGTCTCTGAATTGGACAGGAGGGAAGAGGAACATCTGGGGATAAACATTGACGAGGAAAGAGATGCAAGATTTGGTGAGATTGAGGAGGATGAGACAACGGATGAGATTGAAGTAAGAGGGGAGCACAAGGAGATAGGTGAAGGGAAGAAAGTGGTGGAACAAAAGATTAACCCTTTACCTCAATCAGCTAGGAAATACGTGTTGGACATTCTGGCAAATCTGAATGGTCGAAACGTCCGAGAACCCGCTCCGTTTATAGACGAGGAGAAGAATGAGGCATTGCAAGGACTGGTAGGGTTATTGAAAGGTACTGTGGAGAGAGGAGAGGGTAATAGTGCTTTGGTCGTTGGACCTCGAGGAGTAGGGAAGACGAGAGTGAGTGATGACTATATTCATGTATCATTTCCCTCCCTCTCTGACAATTCCTTACAAGCGTTTCATTCCCTTCATTTATAATTCGTCACCGTTCCAAATAACTCTTCGCGCCACCCTCCCTCATGGCCTTTGGGTTATGTGGACATTCTATATATCATTCTCCTTCTGAAATCCGTGTTGATTTATCCCCTTGATCCGTAACATCCTTCAAGGCCACCTCTATCGTACAGCATTGTTTAACAACCTGACGTGATGTATCATGAGGTCCCTTCTTCTTGAAGGTCGCAGATAGTTGAGACGTGATGAGAGGCCGTGCAATAGACGAATCCAATAACGACTAATCTCAGACCATTGCAAGAGCTCTTCAACTCCTGCCCTCATCTTCTACCCCACCTATCGTAGTTCATCTCTCCGGACATGCTCAAACCACAGACCGTCTTGCGATCCGGGAAATGGGTAGACAGATCTCAGAAGCGGAAGGTCGGATTGATACTTCAGAAGACGATGATGATCCCCAGACTGAGGAAGATGTGAGTTTCTTACCTTGACCCCATCTTCACCCTTCATTCATTTATGATAGTCGCTAACAGAGCCATGGGTCTGAGATGGACAGCTCTTGGATATGAAAGTATCATTCATGTCAAGGACAAATGTCAGACGATATACTAACAGATAGGAATACGCACCGACAACATTACCTTCTCATCTACTTGCGTTACTGACTGTTCCTTCTCCAAGAGCTATAGTGATAGTTATTGAAGAGTTTGATTTATTTACCGAACATGCTAGACAAGCTTTACTATATTGCCTTTGTGAGTTTTCCAAACCTTACTCTGAACTTTACTTCTCCCCTAATCGTCTCCATCCCCTGCTTGACCGCTCACTTTCTTCGACTCGTCACCGTTTTGCTCTGTCTCTTTAGGCAGTCCTCGTCGTAATGCACCACTGTATCCCCCTGTTTCTTCTTCCCCTTCGTATTCACACCTTGAGTCTCTTTGTCAAAATACTGTTCAAAAGCTTTTGGTATCCTTGTTCCCACCGCCCTCCACATTCAGGCCCCTCATATCTCACTACCTGGGGAGCTGAAAGGCACATGGCTCACTCTCAGTGGACGTAGTCCAAAGTATCAAAACCGGTCCTGTCGAATCTACCGGTCGAGGAGTCGCAGTAATCGGCCTTACAACCCGTATAGATACTTTACTTTTACTTGAAAAACGTGTCAAATCTCGATTCTCGCATAGAGTATGGAAAATCCTTTCTCCTCTCTCTCCAGGATCTTTAGGGTGGAGGAAACTTCTCAGAGGGGTGTTAGTACCTTGGGAACTCACCTCTTCAAATATGTGCTTCTCATCTACCTTCCCAACAAACGGAAAGAAGAAGTCAATTGAGGAGGAAGATGAAGCATGTAAGTTGTGGAAAGGAGATTGGGCGTTTGCCATTGAGGTGAGTATCAATTAAAGCTTCTCATGACAATTTCAGAATCGTTTCGAATGAATTGATGTGAGAAAGTTCAGAATTGACAAAATGAAGACTTTATTGGAACATCCTCAAATTATTCAACATCTCGACAGGTTGACAGGGCTGACAACGGATGTAAGGAACGTATATAGGCCTTTTGTGAGTACGACCATATCAAATTTATTTAGACCTCTTACTTTTCTGAACACATGCCTTATCTTAACGGTAAACATTCTTGACTACAGAATAGTTCCAGATGATCTTCACTCTTTGTTGAAAGTCTTCCTTTCCTTGTCAGATTCCTCACTTCATGATTCATGATTTGAAGATCACTCAGAACCTAAGATATTCCACCCAGAAATCATATCTTCGTATCAATCCTACGCCGTCTCTGGTGCCTCTCATCTGATCTCTGTTTGATAACTGCTCTCAGGTCATCTTTTCTTCACTGTCTCAAGAGACATCGAGCGTGTTCTGGACGACATGCATGAGTAAAACACAATGGGGGTGACTGACCATAGATAATACCCGTTTCAAAAGTCTTAGCGGGAGAATTAGACTTTATATCCGTTCAATCTATCGCTCAATCCATCTTGGACCAAATAGAAGGATCAGGATGGGGATTACAACTTGCAAAGCTTAAAGGTGAGTTAATCCCTATCTTAGTTCCCTTATTCCATATCATTCACAAATACCCATCCACCCATTCACCCCTCCTCCTCCCAGATGTTTTCAGAACCTCAAGTATCAGTATTAAAGAAGACCATTGGGTACTCGAGAGAAAAGACCATCAAATACCTAACTTTCAGGTCTCCCCCATCCAGCTCTCACAATTTTGATCATCTGTAAACATCTCATATCTGTCAATCAAGAAACTTTCAATTTAACTCAAATAACAGAAGAATACCTTCGTTTTTCTCGTACACGTTTAGTTGGTAGTGGTAAAACACGTTGGCCGATACCTCTTCTCAAAATGGCTTTCGAACATCTAGAAAGGGATGGTTTACTTTTACCCGTTTCAAAAGGAAGAATAGAATATAAGAAAATGCGTTGTACTTTATCAGCTGCGGAATTAGCGGGATGGTTTAGATTACATAATGGAGCTGGATTGGGTAATGAGTTGACCGCTTGGGGTAAAACATTAGGAGGACATGTTTAGTTTGGGAAGATTGGTATTTTCTTTGTATCTGAAGATGAAATCATGGAATGGATTGAGCATGTGATGTTGTACAAGTAGTAATCATGCATTGTCAATTAACAACTCCACTTATAGTATCTATGATTTCGCCTTCAAGTGGCTCCACTTGTTACTTGACGTGTTGTGATGCAGATAATGATAGAGTGTATGGCTTTGTTCCATCTGGAAATCTGGATATGTTAGTGGAGTAACGTCATTGAGAGGTAACATAGCAAAATCAATGAATTCATATACCGGAATCTATGGATCATATTCTTTAGAATCCAAAAAGAAAGCTTAACTGAGAACCGCATGAGATCTCATACCAATAAAGTAAACTAAAAAAAAGTCCGGATTTGTACCTGTCAAATTGATGGAATTGATATACTGTATACGAACAAGTGCAATGAACCTCACTTCACTCCATATTCCTCTCTGTACTTTTCAATACTTTCAACCTCTTTTTCCCAACCTCCTTTGATTTTCAAATACCCGATTATATCCCCAACTCCAATGATGGGTTCAATAGGAAACCCATATTCTTCTTCTAATTGTTGTACCGCACTCAAATTCGTTCCTTGTCCTTTTTCCTGTCGATCGACAAGTTGTACAACTCCGACGACTTTAGCTTCGGGATGATTTGAAAACATTTCGAGAGATTCTCGGATTGCAGTACCGCGAGTTAAGACATCATCGATTATTACTATTCTACCTTTGAGTGGGGCACCGACTAAGTTACCTCCTTCTCCGTGCTGAATGTTAGCGGTTTCTGTTTGGATATTCATCATGCTCAGAGATCATATATCTAGCAAGGGATGTGTGGGGGAGAGGTGGAGGGGCATTGTATAGCATACGACTGGGATACGTTGAGATATAAAATAAAATAAACATTGACAGAGAATAGATAGTGAGGAATGATCGAACACGGGGTGGATGTTGATGGTGAGGTAGGAGGAAAATGGTAGAAGTGGAAGAATAATGACATGTCGGTGATACAAAACAGTATGATGAGAGTTGAAGGATTAAAGTGGGATTTGAGAAAGCTGTAGAGTGGTAGATGGGAAATATAATAGGAGAAAAAAATACCCACATCCTTGGCTTCTTTACGGTTATAAGCAAATCCAACATTTCTACCATGAGATCTATACAATTCCACAGCTGTTATAGCGGCCAAAGAAATCCCTTTGTAAGCCGGTCCGAAGAGTATGTCGAATTCCGGTATACGGGATGACGTGAGTAAAGTCGCGTAGGCTTCTGCTGTGGCTGCTAAGAGGGAAGAAGTGTATAAACGACCTGCGTTGAAGAAATAAGGTGAGATTCTGAGTTATCAATGGTTGGTTCTACTCCCTCCTGACTCCACTGCCTCACTGTTTGAACAGGTTTATTGTCACTCGATTTTGAACTCGCTACCGTCTCAAATATCTCGAGTCGTGGCATGGTGAGTAATTGAAAAGACAGAAAAACGCGTCCATGTAGGAAGGACAAAGTACGAGGGGAGAGGTATGAGCTGCAGACAGGAGGTAAGGGAGGACTCGAAAGAGTCGAGAGGAAGAGGGATTCACTCACCGACCCGACTTGAGTGTGAACTGTCCAAAGAGGAGAACACCATTATCGATAGCGCTCTCTATGAATTGTTGTTTCGTCTTGTCCAATTCGACCTCTTCCACAGGGACTGACATCTTCGGTTCTGAAAATAGACTTTGAGAGCGTTACATATCGGAAAGAGAAAATTGAAGGATGGCTTAGCGAGATGAAATACTTCTGGGGTGGGGGCGGAATGTGGCACCTTGAACGTGGCACCCTTCAAGGGGGATCATTCACTGCCACTTCTATCACCAAGGATGAAACGTTGGTCATGCTGGTGTATCCTCGACTGCCAAAGTGGTAATGAAGGAGAGGAAGACAAAGGGGGAAAGAAGAAGATCTAATGTAGAAGGTCATGAAAGGAGGTGACGTGGTGACGTCAGAACGCCCCACTGAACGGAAGAAGGGGGATGAAAGGAAGTTAGTTTTGTGAGTGCCAGATACTTAGACGATCTCCTTAGTTACGTCTGCCTCGGTTTTCCCATATATTCATAAATCGAAACATATCAAGGGATTGGGAGGGGGAAAGAAGGAAAAAAAGGAAAAGAGGGACAGAATGATTTCTACACAACGTGGACAATCCCAAGACAAACCATCGATGAAGTCCAATCATCATCATACTCCGTCATCAGGGTCTTCCTCCGTCCCAAGAAAAATGCCAGGATTCGTCATGCCCGATCTCAGCTTTCTGGACGACGCATTGATCCCTTCTGTCCCAATGGGATCATTAGGACATTCAGACTTGATGGGTCATCGATACCGTCCACCTGTCCAACCTGACGTCAAGGACTCTCATCCTGTTGGCCAGATTCCCATTGGCGGGGTAATATCACATAATGGGGTTAGATCAAGGTCAGACGATTTGGGAAGAGGGGTGATGAAGAGAAGTTCAATGGTTGATATTGGTAATCGAGCAGGAGTAGGAGCGGGATCTGGGGCTGGCATAGGGATAGGTATGACTATGGGTGATATCAAGAGTCTGACGATGGGAAGTGCAAAAGCGATGCTTAAGAGGTTAAGCACGGTACCGACGCCGCCTCCTAAAAATCGGCATGACATATCAGGGAAGGAAGGGAGAGTTGGAAGTAGAGAGAGAATAAGGAAGAAACATTCGAGGACGGCTTCGGACACTACGGCGGATATCATCACGGAGAAGGTGAGAGCGCCCGTACAGGCTGCTCATGTTGACAGAGGATACCAGGGTTTTCGCCCGGGGGACGTGGGTGAGAGTGGGGGAGACAAAACAGGTAGATCTGTACGAGCGAATAAGGAAGACAGGATTAAGGGAGTTACTGAAGGGCAAAGACCAAAGAGGGGGGAGAGAGCTGTGGGACGAGAGAAGATAGATGAAGGTTTACGAGGAGAGAGAACTCACAAGATGGAGGAAGGAGGCAAGGTAAGAGATTTGGAAAAGAAGAAAGCTTCAGCAACTGCGCAACTGAAATCACTCAACGTACCTCCTCCCAGAAAACCAATGAACCAAATTAGCCCGCTTGACCAATCTCACCGAAAGATTTCCCCTCCTTTACCCGCCCAACAACTATCCAATTCGAGTGTTCCTCGTGAACCCTCATCCATCCCATCAGGAGCTATCCAGCTTCGACCGGATAATTCCACCGTAGCCCTCCTAAGATCATTGATTTCCCTCATACCGCCTTCTCGAACACCGTCTCTTCCATCGGCGGAAACAGGGATCTTTCTTCCCGCCTCACTCCTTACACCGCTCTCGCTGGTCCTTGAGGTCCTGGTAGTTGAGCGAGAAGTACTAAAAGATAATGTAGAAGCCGCACCCAGACTTCCGATTCTTGCAGATGGAAGACTGCTGCAACTTCGTGGAGAGGGAGAGGTGGATTGGAGGGTGGCACAACAGTATTTCTTAGCCGTTGGACAAATTCTCCTCAAGCTTCTTAAATTACTTGATACTTCAACACAGGGTAATCGCCATACCAAGGATCTAGCAGAGAAGGAAGAGTTGATCAAGTCCGTTAGAATTTACGTTGGGAAGATGAAGAAGGTATTCAGTGAGGTTGCTGCGATGTACGTCGAAGGGTATGGGTTTGTGAGAGGATGGTGGGATGAAGGGGGTATGAAGGGGGCCGCAGGTGAGATTGGAAGATGGGGGGAGATTTTGAATGTGTGATGACAGACTTGTTGTAGCATGTATTATATAGCGTGTGCCGTAAAGTTAAGTGAGCGTGTAATTACTCGTCATGTAGCCTTGCTTTGTCATTCACGAGGTGTCAACATAGAGTAAGTATTTGAGAGACTGACTCGACGGTCCAAAGTGACCAAAGTACTGATCGCTCATTTCGGCGATAAGTAACTTAGCCTTGGACATCGGAGTTATCAGCTGCCACACTCACCTCTGCATCGGACTTACCTCCCTTTCCCCTGCCTCACTCAAGACCCCGTCTTCATCTTCACATAGACAGCATCTATCACCATGGGTTGTGCGTGCTATCCTTATCAGAACAAGCATCACAAAGACTAACATGCAGCCAACAAACCTCGAGGACTTCACGCTGCTCGACAGCTCCGAACATCGCGTAGAGAGAACCGATGGGCCGATGCCGCTTACAACAAGCGTGCTTTGGGAAAGTTTTACAAGACTTCTCCTACTGGTGGTAGTTCCCATGCTAAAGGGATTGTTTTGGAGAAGGTGGGTCCGGAATCTCTACCTCCGTGCATATCCCCAGTTCGACAGCTCTTTACTCAGCAATCCGCTGGTGATTAGTGACCATGTGGAAGCAATGTATTGGGTTCGGGTGTGGAGGTGGTCTTGCGATTGTCAAGGTATACATGCAGCGTGGACCGTCCATACTGACGCAATAGGTCGGTGTCGAGGCTAAACAACCCAACTCTGCTATCCGAAAATGTGTCCGTGTCCAACTCATCAAGAACGGTAAGAAAGTCACGGCTTTCGTTCCCAATGACGGTTGTTTGAACTTTGTGAGTGTCCCTCTTCCTCCTCATCTCGTTCTACACTCTCTCCACAGACTTTAACCGTACTGTGTTCGAAATATGAATAGCTCCATATGACCCAGGTACCGAATGGAGGCACGATGCTGATCTTAGACCGACGAGAACGACGAGGTGCTCATCTCCGGTTTCGGTCGACGTGGAAAGGCAAAGGGTGATATTCCCGGTGTCCGTTTCAAAGTTGTCAAGGTCTCCGGTGTGGGTTTGATGGCTCTTTGGAAAGAGAAGAAGTGAGTTGAATGAGTTGAGTCGGGGAAGATTATGCTGACATGACAGGGAGAAGCCTAGGTCGTAGTTTGACTCACAGCTTGCATGTATGATGATACATTTCCATCTTCTGTTTTCCTTGGTCATAAGCTCTGTCAACATTCAGACACAGTGGTACGCCGGCTGCTCTGGCCTACATCAGATGCCGGATGGCTTGTGGCAGTCGGCCCCCTTGTGACGCAGACATGTCAGTGGACGGCCTTGGGTTCATCTACCCCACCTGCACCACCTGCGTACCTGCATACCTGTCCTCGGTATTCACTACCCTTCCGCATTACATATACATACTTGAACTGATGCCTTCTCTGAGCTTCATGACTGTGTAAATAGCCGTCTCCTGCATACTTCGATGTGAGCGCGGTATCACGTGAACATTTTGCGGAGCCCCGTATCTCACCTTGTCCTCCAATTCTCCGCCATGACTCGTATCTCAACTGAACTACTCGAGTAAGCTACATAGACTACAACATGTCACCCAGCACATGACACCCCCACGCCGTATCGTTATCCTAGGCGGGGGAATAGCCGGTCTCACAGCTGCCTATCGTCTCTCTTCTCTTCTCCCCTCGTCCAAGATCACCCTGCTCGAAACGACCGATCGACTGGGAGGATGGGTTCGTTCTGTCCCCTATCGTGTCACGTCTCTCGATGAGCTGGGGGGAGCATCGACCAAGGATGTGGTCTTGGATTCTGGACCTAGGACTTTGAGACCTAGGGGTAGTAAAGGGGCGATGAGCACTTTGCGTCTGGCGAGTTGATCTCTCTCCGCTCCTCTCCCTTCCTCTCTTTCCAAACAAAGCTTCCATACACCTTACTTATTTCACGTATCAGCATATAATCTTCCTTCGCTTTGGATGTAGACCGGACAGACCTATCGTAATCTTACTCTTGTAAAAATACGTCTCAATGTCATGTGCTTATCTACCAGATCAAAGATCTCGGATTGGAATCATCTCTCATACCTATACCCAAATCCCACCCATCGGCTAAATCCCGATTCATACTCGATCCCAACACTTATACACTCACCAAACTCCCTAGCGGTATATCAGACTTTTTTAAACTTCAACCTCCTCTTTTAAGGGGTTTACTCAAATCTCTATTGCTAGAACCATTCGCCAGTCTTCGACGTATTCCCAATATCAACTCTAAACCCCACTATGAGCATTCTGTCATGTCAAAACAAACGGAGCGGGGAAAAGACGAAACGGTCGATTCATTCATCTCTCGACGATTTGGAAAACCCATGACTTTACTTGTCAGTTCTATGATCCATGGGATTTACGCTACCTCATCTTCTGTTCTTTCTGTCAGATCATCACCTTTCGCTTATGCTTGGAAGACGGAGAGGAAATACGGTTCGATAATCCCTTATATCTTTTTACCTCGACATGATCCATCTGTCCCCACGCTGGACATGAAAGAAGATGATTATATGAATGATATGAAGAAACAAAGTTCCGATTGGAGTCTTTATGGATTAAAAGGTGGTTTGGAAAGTTTAACTTCAAAATTGAGTTCTCAACTTGTTCAAAGTAAGAATGTCGACATTCATCTTTCATCCAAAGTTACATCAATAGAAATATCTTCTCTTGACCCGAGTTTCACAACTGAACCTTCCTCTTATCCTATACCTTCAAACAAGAAACCTACGACAAACTCCGATTCTGTCTCAATAGGAAATCTTTCACACTCTGATCCATCAAATCCGTCAAACAATGTGAAAGTGTACACCTCACAAAATACTTTCGAAGCAGATTGTATAATCTCAACTCTACCTCCTTCCACTCTCTCACATCTTTTACCACTTTCTCAACTAGGTGTGAATCCCTCTACAACAGTAGGAGTTATCAACCTTCTTTATCCTCTAGATCCAAAACATGTTCATCCAGAAGGTTTCGGATATTTGATACCTAAATCCACCCGAAGACAAAACCCAGAAGGGGTATTAGGTGTCATCTTTGATTCTACAGCTTTACCAGGAGTGGATTCTTCTGAAGGATTTACAAAATTGACAGTGATGATAGGTGGACCATATTGGTCAAATTTAGATCCATCTTACAACCCCTCTTTAATTTCACAAACCCCAAATTCTGGACGATCGAATGGGAGAATAGAGGATCAAAAGAATATTTTCAAGATACCGAAAGAAGAAGAATTATCAGGATTAGCATTGAAACATTTACACAGAGTGTTTCCTAATTTAGAAAGAACGAAACCTTTGTTAAACATTTCTCATTTACATAAAGATTGTATACCGACTTATCTTCCTGGACATGGGGATAGATTGAGGAAGACGCATGAAGAGATTTTGAGTAAAAAATGGGGAGGAAGGTTGATATTGGCTGGAAATGGGTATGGTGGAGTGGGGGTTAATGATAGTGTTTGGAGTGCTGAATGTGCTGTTAAAGGGGTAATGGAGGGGAGACAGATTACGGGATTGGAAGATTGGGCAAAGTGGGAATGAGAAGTCGTCGTTTATCCATGTGGTGGACTTGATACGAAATAACGGAAAACGTGTGTGAGGATTGATCAGGATCAAGGGGGACGGATGACATTCTCATGCATTGCATCGAAACAATTTTCGCCATGATTGGGTACTCAGTGCGATTGGAAATAGGGAACATGTTGCTACGATGGATGACACAGGGTATAGTAGTGATCACACAGACACAAATTCCCTGTCGCCGGAGAATCAGAGTCGGGTGCTCTACTTAGTGTACTAGGAGTGAAGCACTGTTTGCGAGGTGAGATAAATCAAGCGAGATTCGGTCTATGAATGAGTGACATCAGTGACATGAGACATCAAAGAAAGGCAGTTTCAAGAAAAGAAAAGACAACATTCAATGACATTCCATGGTTTTAAAATGAAAGTTGGATATCCATCAAAGTTGTTCAAGAATCCTAACTAATCTCACGCAAATACCACCCTTCATCTTCATTATAACACTCTCTCAACCCCTTCTTCCCTCTCTTATCATCGACATTTCTGCACCGCTCTTCACCTTTTTCTCCCATACACAATGTTACCGCACCACCCATTCCTAAATCCGAATGAAATCTTTATAGTTCATCTCATACCGTTCCCATGAGGAGAAGGATCACTCAAAGGAGTTCGTTCTGGAGTATCCACCAATCCACTCAATCCATTCCCCATTATCTTTCTCTTCTTACTTACCTCATCTCGAGTCTCATCCTCATCCTCATCATCATCATCAAGATCGATATCCATCTCATCATCAGAAAACATATCAGCCACATCTTCCATCACCCCTTCGTCTATCTCACCAGGCGGATCAGGTGGTCTTTCCGTTGGTTCGGCAGGTATCTCCGATCTTGTTGAATGTGAATGTGAATGTGAATGGGAATGTGAATGTGAATGAGATTGAGAATGTGATTGAGAATGTGATTGAGAATGAGAATGGGATGAACGAGAATGTGAAGATTTGAGTTTTCCTTTATCTTTAAGCTTTTTGAGAAGTTTATGTGTATATTCTTTAACAAAAGATTTCATCTTTGTTTTTTTCTCTTCTGTCAGATTAGGATGTGAGGTGGTTGCGTAGGAAGGAGATTTCTTTTCTTTTTCAACCAATATGAGTGTACACTGAATTGTCAGCCCACCTCCTCTACGTCGCATTTGAGAACCCCGTCCCTTCCCCCTTTTGGTGTTGGAAAGTAAGTTGGTCAAGATAGGAAAGTGAACTGTTCACACAACAGAACAGTCAACGAGATGTGAGACCGATTAAAAGAGATGAAATCTGAGCATTTCCAATTGGAAAATCATAATGTGTGATTGCGTTGGAAATGATGGTCATTGGTCTAGAGAAAATACGAACAGGAGAGGGAGAAAATGGTATAGAAATCAAGAACCACTCACCTCCTTGGCATACTTTTTAAAAGTATCATGATCCATTTGAGATTTATATTTGCTCATACTTTTCACGACCCATTCACCAACTACAACCTTTAATCTCTTTTCTTTTCTTGCTTCATCCATTTCATACATCCTCTTTGCTCTTTTTTTCCTATCTTCATCATCACCAGGTGTATCATCTAATCGACTTCTAGATCCTGATCTACTGCTTTCCGCCGGACTTTCAGTAACCACATTCTGAGCTGCCACAGCGGCTGCCATGGTTTGTTGAGCTAATGCGATGATAGCATCTAATTTTGACCTATCGGCAATTGTTGATTGTGTCGGTGCGGGTTTAGGAGGTGGAAGGGGAGGTTTAGGTCTGACGAAAGGGATATTGGGTCGAGAACGAACGGGTGCTACATCGAATTGAATTTGACCGGTATTTTCCCATGTATTGGTACGATGTGAAGATTGAGAATGAGAATGTAATGAATCGAATTCGGCTATTGTAGTGGTGGCTGCTTCATCTTCCGCGTCGAGCTATCCGTCAATTTTATTCCTTGGACGGAGACGAACTTGGTTGATTGAATTTGAAAAAAAGAAGCAATGTGGGACACTGACAGAAGATATTTTCGGTACTCTGGGAATCTTGAATGAATGAGCTAAACTATCCCAATATGTCAACAACTGATGATTAGCAAGTCAAGCATCATGATGAAGAGATTTGAACTGACCTGTTTGGCTGTCGATGCAATGACTTCATTTTGATCATCTGCCAATGCTCGAACGGGAATTTCAATCTTTGAATCCTCCACTTTGTTCTTATACTGTAAAGGCCACTTTGACATGCTTTCCAGTGCCTAAACCATCAGTATATTTCGACTAATCAGACCGGGTTACTCACAAGAAGGATAATCTGTTGTTGGTCTGCTAGTTTGGTCAAAATCATACTCATGAGTGAAAACCCGTGAAGTCGCATCAACCCTCTTTGACAAACAGGATCCTCTGTCATCTATTCATGAGCTCTGTAGCCCAATCAAAAGCTCGAGACTCACTTTTATTCGTTCCAACAACCGACTCATCATTCTGACATTCTCCATAGATTGTCGCATCGCAGCAGCGACCTTTTGAACCTCGTGTGGTTGTATGGGATGTAACACAGGCTGTGATCATCAGCACTCCCCAATCCCGGCGTAAGCGTTCATGACATGAGGCAAGATAGAGGACAAAAAGACTCACAACAAAGTCTTCATCCAATTGACGAGATTTCTTCTTCTTGCTACCTTTCATCTCCAACTCTTCCACTTCATCCGTGATACCCAGAGCATCAAGGAAGAGGTTGCTCATTCCTCCTATATCTGTTTGCGTCTTTCCGCCGATCGTGCCAACGCAATTTGGTTCGCCGCAGTAACATGGTTGAGCGTCGTGACTGATAGTCAGTCGAAGAGCTTTTCACCTTCATCTGCGCCTTCTTCAGGGCATGCTGATGGCCGAAACCATGATGAGCATCGAGATAGTCATTAAAAGATAGAATTCTTCGGACGATACCAGTTGGCCGGTTACAGAAATGAACAAATGTGAAAGTGTACTCACCCATACCGATCCACATTATAGTTAAAAGTGATCTCCTCATCCTTGATAATGTCCCTCTTCGCAAAGATACCCATGCGTAATCTCCGACCTACGACCCATTTCTGAACTTCGGAATTAGGGTTACAAGAGTGATTTGCGAATCGTCCTATCCCACCTTTTTTCGTCGCGTCGATGTACTGATATCAACAACGAGTCCACCTCCTCTCAAATTCCTCAATCATAAGAAAACCCTCCAATCGGTCATGAGTCTGAGTTTTGTCCCTCCCGTGGTGATAATCGGCAGAGGCTACGGAAGAGAAGAAAGAAAATATAGACTCACCTCCTCCTTCTGCAACATCATAAAGTAAAAATGTTTGATACCTTCATCTGCATACTGAGCCATTCGTTTTCTAAAGGTAGTCTCTTTAATCACTTCTCCAATGTATTCGTAGATCAACGAACCCCTATGTGTCAGCTTTTGCTTAACCCTCGTCACCATACTCTCTCCCATATAATTGTTTCCAGCCTACACAAGGAACCAAGATACTTGTAGAGAAACGGTTAAGTAGACGACCGGATCCCTATGATGACCTACCAAGCATCTCGCCGTATGGTATGGGAGGTTTGGGAGGATGGGAAAGTATGACGACACTAACTCTGGTATATCATCCGCCGCTCTCAAACCAAACCCTTTCATCTCGGTCAACACAACATCTATAGGTGCATATTGTCGTTTTCCGAACCTTGAGTATTAGCATGTCCTGCATATCTGACAAAATCATCCTTTCCATTGATGACACCTATCAGATATTTCGTACACCCCTGAACAGCTTTAAAGATGTCATCGAGGCAGTTGTGAACTTCCGGAGGAGAAACAGTAAAATCGTTGACCTAATGATCTAAGAGATACATACAGTACTCTCTCTAGGCTGGGAAAGGGAAATTGTTTCAGGGCGAAACTCCAGACAATCGCGAGAGGAGCTCGAATGAGCGATTGATAAAACTACCTCCTGATAATTTACAGAAAAGCAAAAGTTTACTAATGAATCAGTAGGAAAAAGACATACCGTTGATTTTGACATTGTTCCCTTGCTCTACATTCCCCAGGTAAACATTCGATAAAGATAGCTCTGTTTATACAATCCGACTGAGATCCACAAGGTTCTGCATGAGGGTCATCTGGAAGTCAGCCTAAGCAGGACGTGATTTATCTTCATTTACGAGGTCTATTTTCCCTCTTTAGATCACAACTCTGCACCTCATCGTTTTCAACCAGGAATCGATCCCGGTCGCGTCAAGATAGTGACAGTGATCCTTTTGTCTTTGAGAGAGAAAAACCGAGTATTGTAGCCGTATGAGACGAAGAGATCGCCACCCTCTCATACCACTTTGCACGTCGCTCAGATTCTCCAACCCCGCCACTCATCTCACCAACATATTTCTGAGACACGCCACCCAAGTGTCTACATAATCTAACGTTTCCAACGACGAATGACTTTGACCCAATGAGAAATAAGAGGGAAATGGGGTTAGTGAAAGGAAAAAGAGTAGAACAACAAAACACACCTCGGTCATAAACACAATCACAAACCATCATCTCATCTTGTTCCCTACTCAAACCTAAATCTTTTCTCTCATAAACACATTTCTCTAAACTTTCAAAACTTTCACAAGCTTGTTCCCATGCTAAAGGTAATTGATCAATCAAAACAGGTTTGTTCTGAGAAACGTTCAAGTTTTTCTTTCCATTATTTTTCCTACCATTTCCTCTCGTGTGACTTTTCCCTTCTCCTTTCACTTTGAAATCTTTCCTTATTTCTCCTTTTCTTTTGATATCTTTATCTTTATCTTTCTCATCATTCCCATTGAGAAGGACAAGATCATCTTTGATATCTTGCTCGTCATGGTCGATCTTTATTTCCGATGGATCGAGTTTGTCATCATGATTACCATTGATCGTAGAGGATGAAAGGGAGGGTTTGATTTCTTCTGTATTGCCCGAGACAGGTTCTGATTTGAGGTTCATATTGAGTAGAAAAACATATGAGTGAGATGATAGTTACTGTGATGAGGTTTAAGGTAGACTGCTGGTCAGATTGAGGTGTATTCGTGAGAGAAAGAACTCACGATTTAATTGAAAATGACTTGATAGGAAAGATGAAAGGGAAAAGGGAAAAGGAGAAAAGTAGAAGGGAAAAGGAGTGACGAGATGAAGAGGGAAAGGTGTACAAAGTCAAAGTCGTGACTGATTCGGTCATCGTTTAAAAAAATCAAACCTCGATACCACAATTGGTCGTAACATCGCTCACCACATACATCACATGCTTCTCTTCAACAACAAGGTGAGCAACCTTGAAACAACAAATCTCAATGCATGCAAAAACAACATTTAGTCCATGCTTGTTACTTCATCCATCTTTCTCGTCCAACAACCAACAATGCGCTCGTATACCAATTGCCCTCCCCCCTCTCAGCAGCGAGTGTACTGTATCAAATGGCCTGAACAACCCAGCAGGTCAATCCTCCATAACTAATGCTTTCAAACTTAATCATGACCCCACCCATTCCCCTCCCTGACCACAGGGGTCAAAACGTCCATTTCATCCAAAGCCATTCCCATCCCATCAGTAATAGTATCCTCACTTCCATCCCTCATCCCACCACTTCTTCTTCCCAATCTCCACCATTTCGAGCCCGATCCAGAAGAGACACTTCTCGTGCTGTCCTTATCCTCTGTCGTACTCATCACTCCATTCCTCATTGGTGTAGGTGTATATATCGATCTCGTCTTTAATTCATAACTTTCCGTCCTCTTATGTCTCGGAACGGTCTCGAAACTCGAAGTGAGTTGAGCGTTCTTCGCTTTCTCTCTCAATTCATCCACTGAAGATGATGTTCTTAAACCTGGACTAGGTACTCCGTTGGTCGAAAAAGTAGCTGATGGTATTGGGAAAGAAACACTAGTAGCAATAGGTGTTGAATCTTCATCATATGTCCCATTTTGAATAGTCACCGGTTGAGGTGTAGTTTTGATAGGTCTTGTGACTCTTTGACTTGGACCTAATGGAGGGTCCAGAGCTGGAGATTTAGCCATTCGAGGTCGAAGTAGATCGAACTGATATTTCCTATCTCTTTCTTGACGTCTTAGCCATGTAAAGAATTCTTTTGGTAATTTCCTCAACTTCGTTTCACTTGGTAATGACCATCCTAATGGTTTAGCAGAAGAGAAGGAATCTCTAGAAGAAGGACGAGAATTGATAGAATCAGTGATGAAAGGTGAAATAGAAGACATAGTGTTGAATGCTGCATCTTTAGGTGGTGTAGCTATGAGGTAGGTGTTATCGGAAGGAAGATTAAAATGTAACATATGTCGAGGATCTAATAATTCACCAATACATTCTGGACCTGCTTGAGGTGTGAAATCGGCTAATGATGTAGTACCGTCAAATAAAGCGTCGATAGATGTTGAATCGTCTTTATTTCCGATATCATGAGAACAAGTCGTTTCGTTCGTATCATCACTTGAACGTCTTCTAGCGTCATTTTTCATGACTTCCATTGACATTTGAACTCTTCGACGATCCCAATCTTTTTGAAGTTGAGACAAATATTGCGTACATTCTTCCGACATTTTACCTTCATTGACTTCATATCGATAATCACGCACAGCACGTCGCATTTGCATAGGATTTAAAGAACGCATGTTTTGTAAAGTTCCAATGAGTGTATCGAATTCTTTGATTTGTGAACTACATTGAAGCCATTGTAATAGTTGAGCAACCGGTTCTAAATGTTTCGTAGCTGTTTTCGAAGGTATACCATGTGATCTTACCCAATCGTCTAACGCAGTGATGTTCATTCGGATTTGAACAGCTTTAGAGCGACAGAGATATTTCTTTCGAGTGAGGATACGATTGAATAATTCCGAAGCTATCCAATAAAAGATTTGGGAAAAGGCTTGAACGGTGAGAGCAGGGTTGACATCGTAGATTTGTAATACGACAAGAACCCCGGTAAGAATGTCGGTGATGGATTGAGGAGTTACTTCTTCCATGGCACCTTGTATCGATCGTGTACTGGGACTTTCCGATATCCTGTTTCTACTTGCTGAAGCTCGAAGATCTTGGACAGATTGTTGTCTTGTTGGAGTCTTTGGGATGGATGATATAGAGTTTCGCACAGATGATGAACCGGTATCTGGCATAGACGGAGAAGATGTTATACCATTGTTAAATATTTGTGAAGCTTTGGGAAGGAGTTCACGTTTCTTCTTTCCTCCAAAAGAACGGAACAACGTCCATTCACCCTCAAACCTAACATCACCGACTTCTTCCAGATTTTCATAGTCCAACAAAGAGGCATCCAGTATTATATCGATCCGACGCTCTGCTACTCGGATCACAAACACTGGTCAGGGTCAGTTGACCAATTCACGTCAAAAACAAAAAAACACGGACCATGAATGGCATTGATGAGCTCTTCCATCATCGAGATGAATCCCAACTTCTCACATGCCTCTTCAAGACCAGCGTCGGATCGTAGGAGATGCAAGAGGACTGTCGTATTATAGGCCCAGTATGACAAAAAGGCAAGGTCCTCCACATTACTCTAAACATGTCAGCTTGACATGACCGTCGATAGATTGAGCATCTCACATATACACCCTGCTCGATCTTCTCGACAGCTCCTTCTATCAGTTCTTCCAACCATGATTGGTCGCATCGGTAATGAGCGAATCGTGCATATAAGTAGATAGCATTGGCTGGCACCGCTCTTTCTTCCACAGGGAAGCAATAAGGCTGTCGAGCTGTGATGAAGATGTCGAATATGATCGGAAGTTGAGAGAGGGAGAACACGAGCAGGGTCTCGTGTATATCCTTGTTCTATCAATTAGCCAACCTTTCACTTCTTCTCGATGGTCGAAGAATAACCTACAACAACAGAATCATCCTCATAATCACTCTCTGATTCCTCAGCTGTCGATTCGTCATCTATCCATCCCAATCCCGAATCAGCCGACAATCGCTTGCCAGGGGTGTTTTGGTTCAAGAGATATTCCGGATTCACCCCTACCACCCTCACCGTCTCCCTTATGAACACCCCCCTCTCCGCTTCCATCTTCCACAGTCTCTCCAACCTAGATTTCTGCTCTATCATACCTACTGCCCTTGAACGTCTTCGTCCAAGCATAGACTGTCTCTGGGCGCTCAAACTTCCATCCCAGGGACCTTCAGGTAGTATAGCCGAAGTAGTTGGACCTGTAGATGTGGCGTGTTCCAACAATACAGCAACTTCCTGTCTATCGTCGAGACCCGCTATCAGATCCAAAGGTGTCAAACCGCGATTGGTCAAGACGCGACAACTTGCACCGCGTGTCAGTAGGAAAGAGATAAGTGGTGCTGTTGATACTAAGGCTGAGAGATGTAATGGTGTCCAGCCTCCTGATACATCAACATAACATCCTGTGTAAATGCAATTACTCACCTCTGTCTCTACCTTTTCTCGGACCGACTTCTAATCCCCAACGTAATACCACAGCCCTAGTACATTCTTCTTTCTCCTGAGAACCACAACTCCCAAGAATGGTCATTCCTACCAATCCCCAACCATCTTCATCTTCGATCAACTGTACCTCTTCATCTAGTATAGCAGCCTGAAGTCAGCCACGACCTCTACGCGTGTTGTAAAGATGACTCACATGTTGACCGGTCAAAGCTGTCAGCCACATCAATAGCTCACTATCGCAATGTTCAGCAGCATGTCGAAGGGCGTGTCGAAGTATGAGAGCAGTCCGAGCATCGTGTATCTCGTCAGAACAAGGAGGATCATCTAGTAATGATTGAATGGTAGCTGGAGAGGGTGATTGTAGAAATCGGGGTAGAGGTGGTAATTGGTTAGCAAAAGAACTTGCACTGATCATTCATGAGCTACGTCTATGGATATGAACAGGTAAGAAGACTTACCGTCGAGTCCTACTGGGTCCAGCACCAGGGTTGGGACTGGGAAAGGAAGATACCAACGGACTCTCTGGAACGGGCAGATGATGGAGCGAAGGTGGCATTTTTCCCGGTGTCTATCGAAACATGTGAGGGAGTGTGGGTTCTGCTTTGTGTAGGGACTATGTGTGTGAGTGTGCTTATGAATGGAACTAGGTAGATATATGAGAGATGGAGTGATAGAGTGAGTTGTATGGTGGGTGAGTGATGCGCGTAGGGATAATCCCGACGGAACTCGAATTAATCCCGACGAAATTTTGCCACTTTCTCCCAAAATACGTCACTCAACCCGAGGATCCCTCCACTACTGACCCAAATACCTACGGAATGTCCCCAAATCCCCCCTGTATTGAATATGCATCCTACCGTGGCTTCTTGCATATCTATGGGTTGCCACACGTATTCTGAAGCCATTCATGCAGGCAGAACCTCCGAATTCGGAGTCCTTGGTTCTCTACAGCCATTTGGAGTTCAAATTCGGAAACGCCCCCGAAAGGATGTGTCCTTCAACCCTAGGCACTGTTTGGCGGTGATTGGGCAATCATTTTTCTCCTCTTCTTATTTCAATCATCTTCTTTCCATTGATTTAAACATAATAGTAACTTACTGAATTAAGCTCACAAGCTTTATGTCTCAGAATAATCAAGCTGATCAACTCATTCTCAACGCTTTAAAGAGAAAGTCGCCTTTTCGTGGTCGACCTCCGAAAGTGTATGCTCCTAGTGCACAATCACCATCAACATGTCAGTGTCTCCTCTGAAGATTATCTCACCCCTTACTAACTATGTAGCCGGTCCTTCTCACCCTATTGAGCCTTCTTCTATCAACAGGACAGCTTCGGAGATCCAGTCAGTTTCGGTTTCGGTGCCCTGTGAGACATTCTCTTTTCCTCTTGGTTCATTGAAGCTTATGCTCAGTGAACAAACCGCCGCCCTTTCCTGAACCACCCCAGCTGAGCTCAAGAGGGGCTTCTTCTCCATCTCCTTGTCATAAAGTAGCTCAGCCCGATCTCCTTCCAACCCCCTCTGCCTCCCTGCCTGCTTCCGAAACGCGACTGGAATCGCATTTGGATTCGGTGGCCTGTGAGGCAGTTTCTTTTCCTCTGGGTTCATTGAAG